GCTTGTGCAAGACCATTCTCGTCTAATCGAGCCATTTCTCGCTTAGGCGAGAATATCAAATAGGAGTTCCTCCAAACTTTTTTTTTCTATTTTCGTTTAAGTGAGTGTCATTTTCACCTAAACAATAAGATATCTAGAGAGTTGACTATTTTTTCTGTGAATCCTCGCTTAAGCGACTCATTTCACTTGGACGAGATTCTTCCTTACTTAAGCAAGATCTCTTCTCATTTAAGCAAGAGAACAGTTAAACTGAGTTTATCCTATTCTCGCTTAAATAAAAATATCCTAAATCTTGTGGTTTTAAAAGTTCAGTCTTGTTTGAGCTAAGCCTATCTTACTTAAACAAGACCCTACAGGAGGCTTTTACCAATCACCTATAAATCATTACTAAAACACATTTCAACATTATTTAATATCAAACAATTTACCTTTTAGAAAATATTTTGACAGTTGCGATGCTATCCCCTGTCAATCAACGGAAAGAGATCTTAATCCCTCACGAGGATATTCCATTTGACTCTAACCCATCGTGCACGTGTTCCTCGTTCAAAAATTTTATATTAATATAATTGATGGATATAATTTTATAAATTAATTTAATATTTCGTTTGTATATTTGTTTTCGTGGATCAGCATCCAGCTGTATCACTATCATTACTTATATATTTCTTATATTAAATTGTAAAAATATAATAAATATATTTTTTAATAAATTTATATTATTATTAATTTTTATGATAGGTTAATTAACTGAGTGTGTGCTTGAATTGTTATTAACGGTATTTTATAGAATTGGATTTGAATAAAAAATGAATGGAATCTTGGGATTGTTTAGTACGATGTTTATGTGTGGGCCCTTGTATGCACATCTGGTGCCTTTTTTATTACACGTTCTCAATGTGTAATCAATTTGCCCCAACCAATCGAACGGCTATAATTCATTTGGCACGAAGTCGAAACATTGAGCGGATGGAAATTCATTTCAATTCAAAGTCTTAATAATTGCAACTGAAAAAAAGGCAGCTCTGACTCTTGTCTGTCGGCACAAAAATTGCATCTCACATCATAGAACAGTAAACATATAAAATAGTAATAAGCAGTTTTAATAATTTTTTAAGATTTTTTTAAAGTTACGTATTCAAATCAAACATTAAAAATTATTGAACAAATGGATTAAGTGTTAAAATTATTTTAATTTAACTTATAGTCTCAAGTTGAGCATCAGTGAATGCAAATTAAAGGAAAAGTGTTATTTATAATAATTTCATTCAATTCAAACAATTTTTTGATAAAAAAATACATGTGATATAGATTAAAAAACATTAAAAACATTAAATGTCTTACTAAATACTTTAAATTATTATAAAAAGCATGTTAAATATATTTTATGATTTACTAAATACTTTAAATTATTATAAAAAGCATGTTAAATATATTTTATGATTTTGAATCATAAATATTAACATTTTTTATGAAAAATATTTTTAAATTTTTAATATATATTATTAGATACAGTTTCAAATTTTTTTTAATTAAAATGCTTATACTATCCCATGATAGATAATAAAAGATTATTTTAAAATTTTCATAAATATTCAAGTGTTTTATAATAAATTATGATCATTTAATTTTTAATTTAGTTTAATTTTATAAAATTTCAATTTAATTTTTTTATCTCATGTTTTATTTTATTTTTTAAATAAAAATAAGTTTAATTTAACGATAATAAAAATTTTCAAAAGATATTAACGATTAAATTGAATTATAACAAAGATTAAAGAATCACGTTATTAATTTTGATAAAAATTACTTAAAATAAATAAATTTATAAAATAAATAAAATTGAGCTATGAGAGTTTTTTTTATATAGATTTTGATTTTCTTTTCATACAATAGTTTTCTTTTGATTATTATATATTTTCTTTTTTATATTGTATGTCACTTTCTTCTTTGCTCATTTTTGTCATTCTCTTTTTAATTTTACACGTTTTCATATAAGTTCAAAGAAGACATTATTTTTGAATTTTTTTAAATATTATTGAGTAATATGATATGATAATAATAAGAAAAGATATAATTCTCTTTTTTCTTATCAAATTTACTCTGTCTGTGTTTTTAAAGTTTGTGCACAAAAATTAAAAGAAATAATTAATATTTTAAAATTTATAAAAGAATATATTTTTCTTAAAATATTAATTAATATTTTGAATTCAATTTGTAGAAATTGTTTCAACTTAATTTGTAATTTTAAATTCAAATTTTAATGAATAAAAAGTGTATTAAATACTCTAAAAAATACTTGTAATATGGAGTAATTTTCTTCATTTAATATACAAAATAAATTTAAAATAGTTTAAAAAATAATTAATAGATTTCACAACTAATTATATTATATATTTATTTAATAGAAATATTTTTTAACATGATTATTTTATGTCATTTTACAACTTAAGAGAATCTAAAATTTATTATTTTGTAAATTTTGCTGATTGTACTTACGGATATTGATGAATAAATAATATTTTAATTAAAATTTATATTGTAACATATTAAAAACACAATTAAATAATATTTTGATTGAAGTAAAGTATATTTTTAATTAAAATTACCTAAAACATAATTTAAAACTTACATATAAATTTTATCCTATACCGTCATAACAGTGAATAATTGGAAATAACTGATAAAAATAATTATTATCAAGTATTAAAAATACAAAAAAACTAGCTCGCTTTTTTTTCATTAGCACCAAAAACAGCACTCAACATGATATTGATCATTAATCACCATAGCTTTTTATTTTTTTAAATAAAAATGCATACACTGTCTGTCCCATGTTATTACCAGTTTAAAAAAAAATTAAATATCGGTCCTTAATAAATTATTGTAAACTATTCTCTTGGTTCAGTTTTAATTGTTTTATGTCATATATTATAGAAAAAATAAATTAATTCTTTAATTTTTTTATTTTTAATTCTCCAACTTTTAAAATGTAATTTCATAAGTCTTTTTTATTAATAATATTTACTCTATTAACATTTTTATTTTTTTCCTATTGTATCATTGTTTATTGTTTCTTTTCATATGTCTTCTTCTACATCTCTCGAAAACCAGCACACACTCACGTTTTTTAACCTCTGGTACAACCACTCACATTTGTATTAGTTAGTTTGTTTTTAATTCAAAATTGTAACACAATTAGGATGGATACTACAACGAACGCGTTGATCGTGATAGTTGAACTCAATTAAAATGTTGTAAGACTTATTAATTTTAAAAAAAAAACTAAAGATAACAAAATAATGTATACAAAATAAAAAGGTGTAAAAATTAATAAATATTATTCTAATTTTCTTAATAAATATTAGGTTAATTTTTTAACCTTTTCGTTTATTTATTTATCTCTTGTTTCATCTTAATTTTGTCACATTTATCTTGTGGCAATCCCAGATTAATAAATTTGATCAAATACAAATAAATTTAATTTAGCAATAATGAAACATATCTGAAAATATTAAAGAATTAAATCAAAATAAAATAAAATCAAAGAACCAAATTACTAATTTTGATGACAAATATCTTAAAACAAATAATTTTTTTTAAAAAAAATCTGAGCAATTAGAGTGTTTTTTTTATGAAATTTAATTTTTTAATGCCTTGATTTTCGTATATTTATTTTATTTTATTTTATGTATTTTATTACATTTCTTGCTTTCTCTTCTTCATTTCATCCATTTTATATCACTGCAAAGTAGACATTATTTTTTAGTTTAAGATTTTTTATATTATTAAATAACATGATATTATTATGATAGAAGGAGAAAGTTATAATTTTTCTGAAATTTATTTCCTCTATTTTTTTTTTCATTTTAGTATTTGCACAAGAATTAAAATTGACATTTTAAATTTTATAAAAAGTATTACTTAGTTTTTTTTTATTATACCCTTTATCTGATATATTATTTAATATCTCATTTATTTATAATATTTTTACTAAACACCTATTAATTATTAAGTGTAGTTTATACAAAAAATAATTGTTTATTGTTTTATAAAATGATAATAAAAAATGAGTGAAGTGAAATTGCTAAAGTGTAATAAGATTAATTAAAAATATATTATGATAGTGTAATAATTGTTTATTTTAAGTATTAAGATTTTAAAATATGGGTTTGATTTAATATTAATTAGCAAGAGTTTTGGGCTAAAGTAATTTTAAACTAGTTGAGTATTGTATTTTTTTATTTTTTTTAAATTAAAGGGTGGTTAAAACTTGATTTTTTTTATTGTTTAGATTTGTATTTTTTTTTTATGTATTGTCATATATCTAATATTTGTTTTTGTTTTTTTTACCTTTTTTATAAATATGATTGAATTCTTACTAGGAAGGGAGTAAATAAGTTTAAGAGTCTCTTACTGCATATTTTATAAATTTGAAGAGAAAGTTATTATTTTCCTTTTCTTTATTCATGCTAAGTGAGCTAGCGATCGGTAATAGTACGTTGTATTGCCTATATAGCTTGGATCGTGTTGTCTCCTCTCCTGTCATCTGCAAGCAGTTTAGAGAGAAGCAACAAACAAGATCAAAGAATGGGAGATGAAGAAGGAAGTTATAAACAATGCCACAACAAGCTCTGGAAGCAAAGCAAGACTTGCCATTTTGGAACTAGCTCACATCATGAGTGTTCCGATGTCCCTAACCGCTATCTTAAACCTCAAAGTCCCCGAGGCCATGTGACAAGACGGTTTCAACACTAAACCCTAAACCCTACCATACGATCTGTTATATAAATAGATAAATGTTCTTTTCTATTATGGATAGCAATGGTATGGTCAATCATTGTGGGTATAATGGTAGATATTCTGAATCAAGTTATTATTATTTCTTTTTCTTCTTTTGCGTTAAGCTTATTTATTATTCTTTGCTACAAAAAGATTTTTTTTAATGAACGTGTCACAGTTAATTACTCCTTTTTTTTTTTGTTTTTTTTGTAAAGATGAAGAAACAAATTCTATTTTCTCTACTATTTACTACGAAGATGAAGAATTAAATTCTAACTATATTTTATTCTTTTTTTTACTTCTTACAAGTGCAGGATAATTCCAAGGAGCTACGGGTTTTTTTCTCCCAAGTGGGGCCCTCCCTTCACCACCTCCATGGGAATGAGGATGGTCTACAGGGTTCATAACTACTACTCTTACTACAGGACGTTTACCTAGCCAGCCTGAGTCTGGTCACTGTGACCCCTTTTGTGAGAAGGCACTCCTTCTCCCGAAGTTATAGGGCTATTTTGCTGAGTTCCTTAGAGAGAGTTGTCTCGCGTCCTTAGGTATTCTCTACGGTTTCAGGTACACGTAGAACCTCCAATGCATCCTCCGCTTGCTCACAAGCTACTACATCTTTGACGAGCACTTGTGCAGCAGTGGCCAAAGGAAATACTCTCTCACCGACGTCGGAAAGACCCTCGTTGACGATGAACATGGGTTATCCTATGCCTATTACATGCTCCAGCATCATCAGGTTATTACTTTTCCTTTTCATCGTCATTTTTCATGTTTCTTAACGTAATTGAGTAATGTGAGTGTTATATTCTTTTTTTTTTCTTTTTCTTTTATCGCATTAATCTAAATTATTTATGGTTGAATTCAAAGTTCAGTCTTCATGTTTAACAGTATAGAAGAAATTAAACATTTATTATTTAGAGATATAAAACTATAATAAATATTTTTTTCTTATAAAATTTACCACTTTTGCATCTGAGTTTAAAGGAAGTTTTTGGTAAAAAGTTTTTGAAAATATTATAAAAATATTAAATTGTAAATATTAATTAAAGAATGAATAAATCTTAGTAATATTTTTAAATGTATGAACTTTTATAAGAACAAGAATCTTATTTAATCATAAAAAAAGAAAGAAAGATGATGGATGATATATTGAACGGCGGTTCTGAAAGGATGCCTTGATGGGAGCATGGGCCTTGGTGGGGGAAGCAGTGGTGGATCCAACCACAGAACCATTTGTGAGGGCTAGCGGAGAGTCAGCGATAGATTACTACACGAAGCGACCAAATGTAATGGCTTTGATTTATAAGTCATTATCTGGAATGTCTGAGCCTTTAATGAGGGAACTGCTGCAACTCTACGACGGCTTCCATGGTGTAGACACACTTGTTGACGTTGGTGGCTGTAACGGTGTTTCTCTTCGCATGATCATGGCCAAGTTCCCCAATGTCCGCAGTGGCATCAACTTTGATCTTCCCGATATGGTGGCCAATGCACCAAACATTCCAGGTTCCTACCTACTTATGTATCATTTATTATTATTAATCTAATACAGTAAATAAAGTTCAATTAATTATTCAATAAAATCTTATTAATTCACTTTAAATAATAAATGATTATGTAGCACGTAATTTCGATTATTTAAATAACGTAATTAGATGTACATTTTGGATCACTGCCATCTTGGAATGTTTGACTTTCCGTATGGATTTACTGTTCGTATCGCTTTAACGTTAGTTATATATTCGTAGGTGTAACCCATGTTGGTGGTGACGCGTTTACTTCTGTTCCCGCTGGGGATGCTATTTTCATCAAGGTGCCTCTTCTCAGTTTTGATGGATTATTTGTTTTACTGTTAACAAATTAATTCTCATATATATATATATATATCATTTAACTTAATTCACACACATATACATATATATTATTTAATATTAATTTATTTATTAACATGTGTCTGAATAGTACATATTAACAAAATCCATTAAAAAATAAATAAATTCGAGCCAAATTTATGTATCCAAAAAGCCTGCTTCAACATTGTCTGATCAAATGACATGAGAAATTTCAAATTTTTGATGTTGTATGAACTTGCAGTGGGTTCTTTTAGCATGGACAGACGAGGAATGTAAGGTGGTAATGCAGAATTGTCATAAGGCACTTCCGGTGGATGGAAAATTGATTGTTTGCGAACCAGTGGTGCCGGAGCTGACGGATGACAGTCGTAGAACAAGAGCATTGCTTGGGGGTGACATATTCATAATGACAATGTATAGAACTAAGGGGAAGCACAGGACCGAAGAACAATTTAAACAGCTCGGCATTTCTTCTGGTTTTCCTCGTTTCCGTGCCTTTTATGTTGATCCTTCTATGGCTGTGCTTGAGTTTCAGAAATGAGTGGCATAACCTTTGAAGTGTGATATTAATAAATAAGTCTAGCATGATATATGACGAGAAAATACAATAATTTGGTTTTATCTTCTGCTTTTAAATTGTACACCGGAATATTGATTTCCTTTTTCTAAGATAGCTGCAAAAAACAGGAAGCAAAAATGAAGAAAAAAAATATTTAATTGCGTATATTATTATTAATAAATAATTATACTTTTCAATAGTAAACTTAAATGAACATTCAATTATGAATTAAACAAATAATAACTTAATCAGTGAAGTGATAAATTATAACTGATTAAATGTAAATAAAATAAAATAAATTATAACTCGTTAGATTTAAGTTAAATAAAAGATTCAGAATGTAAAAGTTTTCTAAATTTTTTTTTTATATATTTGATATTTATGGCATATATAAGTTTAAAATTAACTTTATTGTTATATATATATATATATATATATATATATATATATATTATAGGCAAAACAACGTCTAGTATCCATCATTTACGACTAGGACTATTGAGTATCTAATCTCATTCGCTTCCCTAGCTTTCGTCTCTCAGTGTCAGTGTCGGCCCAGCAGAGTGCTTTCGTCATTGGTGTTCTTTCCAATCTCTACGCATTTCACCGCTCCATTGGAAATTCCTTCTGCCCCTACCGTACTCTAGCTTAGTAGTTTCCACCGCCTGTCCATGGTTGAGCCTTGCAAACTTATTCAATGGTCATTGCTAACCGTTTCTGGTCTCAAATCTTTGGGGTTGCTTTTTTCAATAAACGTTGGTTACATTTCTTTATGTTATTTGTACCAGTAACTAGTTTATGGATGAGTGCTCTTGGAGTAGTTGGTCTGACCCTGAACCTACATGCCTATGACTTCGTTTCTCAAGAAATTCACGCAGCAGAAGATCCTGAATTTAATACTTTCTACACCAAAAACATTCTCTTAAACGAAGGTATTCATGCGTGGATGGCAGCTCAAGATCAGCCTCATGAAAACTTTATATTCCCTAAGGAGGTTCTACTGCGTGGAAACACTCTTTAATAGAACTTTAGCTATAACTGGACGTGATCAAGAAACTACTGATTTTGTTTGGTGAGCCGAGAATGCCCAACTTATTAATTTATCCGGTAAACTATTGGGGGCCCATGTAGTCCATGCTGGATTAATAGTATTCTGGGCCGGAGCAATGAACCTATTTGAAGTGGCTCATTTCGTACCTGAGAAGCCTATGTATGAACAAGGTTTAATTTTACTTCGTCATCTAGCTACTTTAGGTTGGGGGTAGGTCCTTGGTGGAGTAGGAGAAGTTATAGACACCTTTCCATACTTTGTATCTGGAGTACTTCATTTAATTTTCTCTGCAGTATTGGGCTTTGGTGGTATTTATCATGCACTTTTGGGTCTTGAAACCCTTGAGGAATCTTTTCCATTTTTCGGTTATGTATGGGAAGATAGAAATAAAATGACTACAATTTTGGGTATTCACTTAATCTTGTTAGGTATAGGTTCTTTTCTTCTAGTATTCAAGGCTCTTTATTTTGGAGGTATATATGATACCTGGGCTCCAAGGGGGAGATGTAAGAAAAATTACCAACTTGACCCTTAGTCCAAGTATTATATTTGGTTATTTATTAAAATCACCTTTTGGGAGAGAGGGGTGGATTGTTAGTGTGGACGATTTGGAAGATATAATTAGGGGGCATGTATGGTTGAGTTCCATTTGTATACTTGGTGGAATTTGGCATATCTTAATCAAACCCTTTGCACGGGCTCGGTGTGCACTTGCATGGTCTAGAGAAGCTTATTTGTCTTATAATTTAGGTACTTTATCTGTTTTTGGTTTTATTGCTTGTTGCTTTGTCTGGTTTAATAATACTGCTTATCCTAGTGAGTTTTACGGACCCACTGGACTAGAAGCTTCTCAAGCTCAAGCATTTACTTTTCTAGTTAGAGATCAACATCTTGGGGCTAACGTAGGTTCTGCTTAAGGATTCACCGGTTTAGGTAAATATTTAATGTGTTCCTCAACTAGATAAGTGATTTTTGGGGGGAAACTATGCGTTTTTGGGATTTGCATGCTCCCTGGTTAGAACCTCTAAGAGGTCCCAATAGTTTGGATTTGAGTAGACGAATTTTGGATTACATTTCCTATTTTCTTTAAATTTTTAAGCCTTATTTAATAATAAAAAATAAAATAAAATAATATACAAATTAATAAATTTGGTTAAAAATTAACATAAAAGGTTATAATACATGTTTTACAAAATAAAATAGAAAATGATAATAATAATTTATAAGTAGATATTATGTATAGATTTTTATTTATTTAAAATATATTTCTTAAAGTTAAAAAACATATTTTAAATTATATTTTCTATGTAATGATTTTATCCTCACATTAATCAAATTGACTAGTTTCATAATGTTTTTTTTTTTACTCTGCTCATTTTTTTTGTCTTTTGAATTAATTATATGATCGATTTTCGATTCAACCATTTTAATTGACAAGTTATGTCTAATTTTAATAACATTATTTTTTCTTTTTATAATAATCAATGCTTAAAGGCTCGTTAACAACAAACTAATTAACAAATTAATATGTGAAAACAAATTTTTTTAGGTAGAGGAATCAGTTGGGGAGGGAGAATGTTAACCGACACATCTCATTCGCAATATTATAAATATAACAATTAGCTTTTCTATAATTGATATTTTCAAATTACATGAAATCATTAATGTGTATAAATGGTTTTACCATTATGATTTTATTTCTTTAAATAGTATTTCCTTAAAATTATTTGTTATATCAATTAATAGATTAATAATATTTGATTAATTTAAAATAAATAGGTAATTAATTTTGAAATTAATTGTAATATATTTTTAATATAAAATTTTTATACTATCATCTGATTAAAATATATAAACATAATTTTAAAATTAAACGTTATAGAAGTTAATAGTTGTTGTCGATATAACAATTCAATATTGAATAAGAGTATACACAATTTTTATATCATCAATATATTTTAATTAAAATTTATTAATTTTAATGCTTAAAATGTAGAAAAAATTTGAAAATTTTTAAGTCATTAATAAAATTAATGCATATAGGTATTTTGCATAGTGTATTGGTTGTAGGTCCAGTAAAATTCAGTAGATAATTAATTGGTATCGTTTTATGCATGGATTGTCGTATTACCTTTTGCTCAGTGATTTTAGACAAATTTTGTGGGCAAGACTTATAAGAATTTTAAAAAAGTAGAGGAAATACTTTTTAAATAAACCACAATTCAAATCATATCAATTAAAATGATTTATGAAAAATGACTGAAAATATTTGTTAAAGAATACCAAAAAAAGATAAAAACTTTTTTAAATAGTATGAATACAACGAAATTCAAATAATTGAAAAGGTTGATGAATTTAATCAAAATTAAAAGATAAAATCATAACTAAACGACGCAATATGAAGGAATGAAATAGTAGGTAGGAATTGAGAGTCATTCCATATTTAAAAGAAAAAAATATATCCTTTTATATAATACAATAAATGTTGAATAAAAAATTAACAAACTATATTTAAATTCAGTTATTTTTAAAATAGTATAAGTTAATAGTGAAATATTTAAAAAGAAAAGAATATGCATAATTATTAATTAATTTCCAATAAAATATACAAAATATAAGATATTTGTTCTTTTTAAAGAGAGAATTTAACAAAGGTCTCTTTTAAGAAAAATATATCCTAATTCAATATATAAGGCGAATAAAATGAGTCTTAAATAAAGCTTTCTAAAAATAGAAGACCACGTATAGAAACTATTGTTTTATTAAGCAAAATATTTTTCAGCACATAAATGTGATTAATTCAATTATATGTGATCAGCTCAATAAATCGTCCAAATTAATGCTGATCATCCAAGCTAGTTATTCTTTTAACCATCCCTAATATTAATTGTATACATATTCACGTCCATATAGTCCCTTTTTTTAAAATTAAAATCATATATAGAAATTCTTTTAATATAGAATCATGTCAAACTTAACATCATGAGCTAAAAAAAATTATCAACATGCATAAATTGAATATATACATGATGATGATCAGCATCCAGACACAGGTATATAAAATTTGCAAATCTTTCTTGCTCTGAAATATAGAAGTATTACTTTTCTAACGAAAAAAAAAGAAAAAGGAAAAACTTTAGCCACTGCTGGCTCCTTGTGACAAATGGAGGAAGCCACAGTGATAATTGTAGGTGCTGGTCCTTCTGGCCTTGGAATTTCAGCATGTCTATCACAAAACTCTATCTCTCATATAATACTTGAAAAAGAGGATTGTAATGCTTCACTTTGGAGGAAAAATTCTTATGATAGATTAAACCTCCATTTAGCTAGTGAATTTTGCTATTTGCCTCTTCTGCCTCACCCACCCTCAACCCCAACTTTCTTATCCAAAGCCCAATTTATTCAATACATAGACACATACGTTGCACTTTTCAACATAAACCCTCGCTATTGTCGTTCGGTTGAATCAGCTGAGTACGATGAAGTTGGAGACACGTGGAGGGTTGAAACAAAAAACACCTTACAAGGCACAGTGGAAGTTTACGTGGGTAAGTTTCTTGTGATCGCTACGGGTGAAAATAGTGAAGGTTACATTCCTGATTTGCCTGGACTAGGAAGCTTTGAAGGAGAGATATTGCACTCCAAACACTACAAATCAGGTTCAAAATATGAATCCAAAGAGGTTTTGGTTGTTGGGTGTGGTAACTCTGGAATGGAAATTGCTTATGATCTCCATAACTGGGGTGCAAGACCTTCTATTGTGATCCGAAACCCGGTAAATTTTGGTGACTCTTTCTCTCCATGCAAGAATGTTGTTATTATTATTATTATTCACTAGTAGTGTTTAGACATGCATGCATAACCTTTGAGACCATGCTTTAATTTTTCACGGTGGTGTTTACTATAATTTTTGTCCTTTTTCTTCATTTAAAATGGCCGTTTGTTTAAACTTTTTAAAAACGTGTAGTTATTTTCGAGATTTTAGATAAATATTTTTTATTTGATTGTAATTATAAAAAGCTGTTTTTTTTTTATGTGGTTATCGTTTTGTTTTTGAAGTTACTCAAAATAGTTTTTGAAGTTACTATTGTTTGTATATATATATTTTTATTTTTTAAACACAAAAAATTAATAAATAATAATTTTTTAATTAAATATAATAGTATCTAATGTTATCAATTCGTTGTAGTTTTAAAATTTTAGAACAAAATTATTATATATAAATTTTTTATTATTGACGGACGTTAACTTTCTTACCATCTAAAATGTTTTAGTAAACCTTATTTTATTTATCCTTGAAAAAATGGAGTTAATGTTTTAAATTAAAATTAATAAAAATAAATTTTGATAATGTAATTATGTTAATGGTATTAGATGAATGTAACATTGACATGTTACAACATTTTTAGAAAAATTATGAAAATTAGTTAACTTTAAAAATAGTTTTATTGATGTATATAATTTAATTACAATGTATTATAATTAAAGACGATTAGATGAAATATTAGTCAAAACTACTATTGGTATATAAGTGGATGGAATCTAATGTTATGTATTTCTTAAAATATTTAAATTAATTTATATTAAAATATTTAAATTACTTATTTACTAAAAAAGTATACAATTTTTTTAAAAATAATTTATTTACATATATTAAATATGAATCTTTATTCTTAAAGAAATATTTTTAAGAAAATTAATTCCTTTTTTCATTATGCATTTATCCTTCATTAAATATTCAAATTTTTAATTCAATCTTAATTTATTTTTTATAATTCATTTCTTAATTTAAAGCTTTTATCTTTAATTTAGTTAAATTTAATATAATAAGATATTAATTACAGATAGTAAAATATATTTTAAAATGTTATAATCCTTATTAAATTTAAAAATAATTGTGTAATATATTTTAATTTTTTTTATTAAAAACTATTTTAATTTGATAATATCTATGCAGTATACGAAAAACAAATTAACAATCGTAAAGTTTAAACCAAAAGCTTTTTCTTCCTTTCATGTGAACAATTTATTGGATTTTTTGTGTTAGTCGTGGTGTTCAACTCATTTCAATATCTTCAATTCTTAAACATTGAATTGATAATTTTTAGACTAATGATTATTTAAAAAAACATGGTAATTGTTTTATAAATTCCAAAAATTCTTATAAAAATTTAAAAAAGTTAAGTTTAGAAATAATTTCAAATATAAAAACAAAATTAGTAAAACTATTTTCAGACTTATGAGATCGGGGGGGTTTACATTTAACCACTAGCCCATAAAATATAGATTGAGTTAATTTTAGTCGAACTTCATTCCATGAGATGAAATATTTTCATGAAAATAAGTGTTATGTTTTTCTTTTGGTGGTCATGTTTTTGATGTGTAGGTTCATGTTCTCACCAAAGAATTGATCCATGAAGGAATGCGTAAGCTGAAGCGTTTGCCAGTAGATGTTGTTGACAATGAGGTTACACTTTTGGCAAACATGGAATATGGTGATCTATCTAAGTATGGGATTCGTCGCCCCGAAGAGGGACCATTCTATCTTAAGGAGGTTAGTGGAAGATCTCCTGTTCTTGATGTCGGAACCATTGCAAAGATTAAGGAGGGAGCAATCGAGGTTCGTACTATTTACTACACAGCATTTTAGCACAAAACACATTACTTCTCCCGTTAATGCATCAACCAAGCGATATCTGCTCATATATTCAAGTTCTACATGTTTTTATGTCATTTGGGAAAACAATTAATAAATGTTTTAAATACTAAATAAATATCTTAACTTTTATTTTTAAAGTTATGTTAATTTATTCATTAAAATATACTGTAATACAAATACACCTTTTATTATATAAATTGATATTAAATTAAATTTCTAAATACTGAATAAATATCTTGGTATGATAAAAATATAATATTAAATATATTCTTCAAATAAAATTTAAATGATCCTTTTATTTATTTATAAATAAAAATAATTTTTTTATATTTTAATATTAAAAGAATTAGTATCATAAATATTTAAAAGTATAAATTAATATATTGTATAAATCTTTGAAGGACTTAAAAAAGTTAAAGAATTAAAATCTAATTTATAAACTTGTTTGCACACATCTTTTTTTTTTTTTTATATGTAAAAATTCATGTTATGATAATCGCTAAATATATATATGACAATAAACTAAATCAATTTTATCTGCTCTCACAAATTAACTGATTCATAATTGTGGTTTAACTTCATAAAATAATATTGATGGCAAGTTAAAAAATTATTAAATTTATTTTTTTATAGTTTCAATGTCATATAAAAAATTAAGAATTTAATGGTAAATAATATTTATCTTGTATTCAAAATAAATTTTAAAGTTTTCATTAAATAAAATATTTATTTATGACAAATTTCTTATGTTCACTAATTACCATTACTAAAATAAACAATGCTCCTAATAAGCTGAAATATCTACCATTTTTTCAACTCATAAAATTATCCTTTTATAATCGAAATGTACAAATTAATATAATAATATTTTAGTTTTATTTTTAAGGTATTATAAGAAAAAAATATAAATCAAAGTAAAAAAATATTCAACAGGTATTATGTTAATGTATATATTTTTAATTTAATATATAAAAATAATTTTTACTTATTAGAAATTATTGTATTTCTTGCAATCTTTTTAAAAAAGAATAAGAACTCTAAAATTATATAAAGAAGAAATGTAAAAGGTTGAAATATAAAAGATCAAGAAATGTATTGGTAAAATAAAATATTTAAAAAAAAATGTCATGATACTTCTAGCATAAAAGAGATTCCATGCGGTATATATAGATTTTCAAAAATATTTTAAAATAACAATAGAAATAAGTGATTGTTTTTCTAAAGTAAATAAAATCAAACACGCACTTACTTGGTGGATTAATTCAGGCCTTTTCTTCTAATTTTCCACTGCCAACAGGTAATTCCTTCTGATATAAGGAGAATTGAGGACAAGGTGGTTGTTTTTGGAAACAACGCGGAAAAAGAGTTTGATGCGATCGTGTTTGCTACTGGCTATAGAAGCATAGCTAATACATGGCTTAAGGTATGTGATAACTGATAAGATAAAGAGAGAATCTACTCTAACATTGATCAGCTTCAATCTCATACACCTTATGCCAAAACAAATAATACATATACATCTATTTCTTCAAACAAAAACTACTTATAGCTAAGCGCAATCTATACGCACTAATCTAATTGATGTCTTTCGCAGGACTACAAATATGTTCTTAATGATGTTGGGATGCCGAAAAATCATTTCCCAAACCACTGGAAGGGTGATCGTGGCTTGTATTGTGCAGGACTCTCAAGGAGAGGCTTATTCGGAGTTAAAATGGATGCCGAGGCTATTGCCGACGACATCAACCAAACTCTTCAGAGACGTTAATTATTATTATTATAGCAGAAGCCTTTGTCCTTTCAGTTCCAGTAAATTAGATTAGAATTTCATGGTTGGTTATTGTGTTGTCATGGTTAGTATAAGTACGTTTAAACATATTGCTGCTATTAATTAAATATTTGTATCATGTAGTATTAGAGTTGAGTAATTTATTCTTATCAAACTGTGTGCCTCGAAGCTTGAATGGTTATTGCATGTAGAGTATCACATGAAAGCCTTGAATATAAGCATCTTCTGTCCACAATATTTTTCTAACATCTCTCTTTGGGTTTAGTTAATCTATATACCCTTTTAACTAAAACTTATTTTCCTAGTCTTATGCTACATGTTACATGTGAATCTATCAAATAATCTATCAATTAAATTTCCAATAATTACCCGTAGCACCTTAATTTAAAATCTCTATCAAATAATTTAAAATATTTTTTAATAACATCCTTATTTTATAAAAAATTATTCTAATCTGTAATTTTATAAAAACCACTTATTTCAAGTCTTTTACCTTATTTATTTTTATTATTTTATATAAAAAGATTAAAATAAATATTATTTTTAAAGTAAATAATTAAATACTTATAAAATTTTAAAATAAAATAGTTGAAACTTACCTTTAAAAAAAAAAAAGTTAAAACTTATAATTTAAAATTAAAGAAAATATTGAAGTAATTTTTTTTTTGAAAAAATTTCCTGCTTAAGTTACCCAAACTACTCAAATGTAACGTGTAACTGGTGCATACACGTCCCCGAATTAACCGCGAACCTGAACTATCCGAACCGAACTGCTGCTCAAAATTCGGGTTTACTTCGGATCCATTTCATACAAGGGAGAAAAAAATGAACACCCAAATCACTTGCGTTTTGCGCTTTTGGATCCCTCGCCGGGCAGTCCATAATCAGATCTGAATCTATACGACCTTGTTCAACTTTATTCGTTCACAATTCACTTTCTGTGATCTCTGAATCTCACCGAAAGCTCCAAACCCTATTACCTTGCGATTGTTCATGTCAACTTTACTGCTTAGGTAATTTCTTCGTCTACTTTATTCACTGGCAGGATTCCATTGTTAGTTATGCACTTTTTACTGATTTATGATTACCGATTTTCTCTATGATTCAGGAGAAACAACGAAACGAAATAGGCAGAGGAACGTCTTTGCCTCTGCCGACGAAATCAATTGCAATTGGTGAGTGTATCTGTCTCTATTAATGTTTTCTTGTTGCCTGAAATCAAATGTGCTTGTTGTGAATAATAAATGTGCCTAACATAGGAATCATTTTGGTGTTGGAGTAATGGATTTAAAGTGATGTTCTAATTTGAAGTTATTGTATTATTTCGTGTTACGGGTTGTGTTTGTATTTTGTTCTTTTGTAGTTGCTTCTTTACTGTGTGAAGTTACTGGTTTGAGTGCTCCCAATTTGTTTGATTCATGGTTTTTTCCTGTATGAGTTTGTTCTTTGGAAATCAAATATGATTTGTGAAGTGAGTGTGGGTAAGTTTTTCTGTTCACTCTTTGTCTTGACACACTCGAATGTTGTTAATCTGTTTGAATTGGGGCGTGGCCATGGGCAATGGAGTAAGTTTCATGTAAGGTATGGGTTTTATGCTACTCATGATTTATTATTATTTTTGGGTTTAGCTTACTGAGTAAAATAATTGCCAAGGCTTTGCTATTTTGGGACTGCATGTATGATAGGATGAATGCTGATTTGGTTGTGGAAGTGTTGATCCCTTTTACACCTGTGCTGCTGTTTTGCTACTTGTAATCTGTGGATTGATGAGTGTTTTAGTTCATCTGCGATATGTTGGCATGAGTAAATTGCTTCTAAATATCTTGTTGCTTCTTTTGCTTTTCATCTTGCCTTTAGATTTCTCAACTTGTAGTCTTTATAGTGCATGGAGCTTTTGAATGCTGATTTTTTGGTGAGTTAATTTTCTCATTTTAATTGTCTTCAACATATGAGTGCTTACTGTGTTTGCCTTATTAAACAAATAATATTTTTTTGTCATAATCTTTTCCTATATATATTTTTATTTTTTATAAATTCTGAAAGAGAAGGCCAAGCCAACGATCAAATCCAAACTAATACCAATTTGATATTATTAGTTTGGTTTGAATTGAACAAGAAAAATTTCCAAAACTGTACCAAACACTTTACTACAATGTTTTGAATCTTTTGATAGGTTTGGACATTGTTTTTAACTTTTTTTTTTCCTCAACCTGACTTGTGCCTACCCCTACCCTTATATAACTCCATGTCACCAACATTCAACTTGTCACATTGGCTGGGTCATCAACTTAAATAGCTGGCAGGGCGATAACTTCAAGAATATTGTCCAACTAGCAATATTAATTGGGGGAAAAATAACCATTTTCCCATGCATATCAAGAGGAAGTGATCATAGTACATTTTTAAGCAGGACATGATATAGTTTTAATTTGTGTTTTTCCTACTGGGAAGTAATAGCCCTGTTAGTCTTGTTTCATACAGATACAGGTTTATCATTTTGAGTAAAGAAGAAGGTTTGAGCAGAGATGGTAAGCAGAGGCTCATACAGCTCTAGCAGCCTCTGGCCTGGTAGATTTCATGCTAGAAAGCTGTCTCCCAGCATAATCACTTTCTATACCCTGTTCATATTTGCTTTCTCCATCTTTGTGTTCTTGTTCTACGTGAGGAACATCGGGGTCGATGAAGATCCACCACACCCTCTGCTTTCTCAACAATCTCAATTCCACCAGGTACTCCACCATTCCCTTGTTTATTCTTTCTGTCGCTCTCAACTGAATTGAATTGAATCAGATTTTTGGGATCTGAAGGGAATTTACGGGTTTCCTTGCTGATCTTGTGATTGAATTAACTTTATTGTTTGGGATCCAAATCAGTTGCTGATTGTGTAAATTGAACCAGCTTTGTAAAATTGTCCTAATTTCTACATCCAATGACTGAGGAAAAACCAAGAAATTGTCTGTGTAGAGATGAAAATTTTGCAGTTGTGGACTAACAGTTTGATAATTTATCGGCATGTGTGCTAGCCATTTTTTTCCCTTATATTATAAATCTTTCAATATTTTTTTTGTCACTCAAAAAACATTGCAGTGCAAATGTACGCTAAGTGTTTGTTTGCTTAGATGAGTATAGATTTTTATTCTTGGAATGATATCAGCAAGTCTTTTTGGTTCTAGCTATATTAACTAGCACTCTGGCAGTTCAGGCTTTACTGCTTTTTTCTTTCCTTTTTCACAGTTCACACTCAATAACTGTTGCATATGGCTACAGGTGCCAGAGTTACATATGCACAACAAACAACTTTGGGATTCTCCGTTCAATCATGGCTTACACCAGTGTGTCAAGCCGACTACTAAATATAAAGGTTTCAGATGCTTACATCTATTCTTGTAATAAATTATTTGTTGTATTTTCTTCTTTCACTTGGTTCAACTCCTATTATTTAAGGTTTTCTTTTTCACCACAGCATCACCTGGCTGTCATTGTCTTGTGCATTTTGTCTCAGTCCCTTCCTCTCAAATATGTTTTTCACTTTTACTGCATCAGGTGCCCAAGGATTTGATCGCTATTTGACTGTGAGAAGTAATGGTGGACTAAATCAAATGCGAACTGGTGTAAGTCACTTTTCACTCTCTTGCACTGTCTTAACTCTTGTATAATAGTTAAATTCATGCTCTTATGCTTGTAACTGCATGTATAGTCAAATATTTACCTTCAATTACAGTTTCAAACTTCAGTATGAGTGTTACTATTTTAATTTCTTGTATCTGAATGGGTTTTTGAGTTACTACTTTTGGCATCGAGGGCCTTAGTTTGACATTTACTTCTTTTCTCTTAATTATTCTTTGTGAACAATTTGATTTCTTTTCCATTCTTGCAATACTTCATCAGTTCATTGCATTTATTAAATATGACCCAGTTTGGATAAACTTCTAGATAAGTACTTATAGAAGAAATAAAAATGTAAAACAAATAAAACGTATAAGTTAAAAAATAACTTAAATACCTTAAGTTTTAGAAAAGTTAAGTGAGAGAGCTTCTAACAAAATAGAGAAGCATAAGTTAATTTAACATATGAGAGGGGTTTATTTCATTCTACTTTCTTATTTTTGTATCTTATAAGTACTTATTGAAAAATTTATTCAAACTAGGCCTATATTGTGTTGGATATGGTGAAATGTAGTTTAAGTTTTGTTTTGTCTTCTGTATAGGGATTTCAGTTTGCATTTGATGGCACCCTTATGATTCCTTGTGTGAAGCTAACCGTTGTTCTACTTAATTTTTTTTAGAATTTGTTTTCATTGTACTTATGTAATCATTCCTTTTCCTTATAGATATCAGACATGGTGGCTGTGGCACATATAATGAATGCAACTTTAGTCATACCCCAATTGGATAAACGTTCATTCTGGCAAGACTCAAGGTATTTATGGGTATCCTTCATTTGGCTTGTTAAATAGTTAATATTATTCTTTTCCTATATTATCTTCTTCTTATTGGGTGTGTTCACAGTGTATTTTCAGATATATTTGATGAGCTTCATTTCATTGAATATCTGAAAGGAGATATCAGGATTGTGAAGGAGCTTCCCAAAAACTTGGAAGGTGTGCCCCGGGCCAGGAAACACTTTACTTCCTGGTCTGGAGTTGGTTACTATGAAGAGATGACAAGGTTATGGAATGAATATCAGGTACTCAAGTTTTTACCATATGATCTACAACCTCTTGGTTCTCATTTTCTGCAGAGGGCTTCATTGTAATTATTTGTAATACTTGCTAATTTGTTAACTTAGTTTGGTTGTTTAATCTCAAATCAGCACCTGTGAAAATTAATTGTAATGGGAAAATGGCTGGTAGGTAGAATTCTCAGGGATTTTTATAGATCTGAGTGTATAACTAGGGAGAAGTTACTTCAGATGACCAAATGCATGATGCAGGTTTATGATTATAGAGAAATGAGCGAGTTATGTTCTCTGGTATTGAGACACTCTTCTTTTTGCATAGACGTGTATGTGAAATTACAATAAAAAGAAAATGATGAAAGTATCAACCATATCCATTGCTAATTCTGATGCCTTGGTAACTAATTTTCCCACAAAAAATCCTACCCCTGAAGAAAACCTTTGTTCTCAAGGGCCAAAGTTCTTAATCAATTGGTTTATAGTCAATTGAGCAAGATTTTCTTCACATATTCCATCTAACAGGTTCCTTTGTTTTGGTTGTCAATGCACTGTCCCTATTACTTTGAGCAATGTGCTTAATGTTGGGAGGCAAATATACACAAGTGGATGCTGCCTGTAATACAGGTCTCCAATGCACCAATGATGACATAACACAGGTTACCAATATCCTTCAACCAAGAAGTAGCAAAATGTACCTTTGCACTGAAATGGGTGTCAGCAACATATAATATGTTTGCCCCTTTCTCTATTGATAACCTGACATCTATCCTTTATCTCAACACTGTTGTAGTGCATTTCATGAGGCTTTTTTGTCCATTCAAATGATCTTTCAAAACTAGAACTAGGTCCTGAGGGGATGAAATTAAAAGCACATGAATTTGTAACTCTTTAAAATGATCAGCAACAGCATTTCCATCCAAAAGAACAAACAAACAAACTCATTGAGAATTCCTTCCCCTCTGACTGCAATCACAATACTTATTAGAGCTAGCTCCACAATTCATGGGCATATGATGGCCTCATGCCATTGTGATCTCACCTTTTTCTCCATTTATTCTGTTGCAGCCATTCTGATCATTAATTGCATGTCCTTTCCAAAAGCTATTTGTTGGCTGACATTTTTGAAACATTTGCATCGATACTATTCGATGTGATAAATAAGTGACTAACACTTCCATAACTTTCAGTGTCTTCTTTTTCTCTCTCACTCTTCCTTTTGTCACTTCATCAAGTTGACTTGGGGAGAATTGCTAAAATTCCTGAGATTTAGAGGCTCTTGCATATAACTTAAGCAGCTTGTGGGCCAAATCTTTGTAACAATTTGCTACAATCGTCACAGGGATGTTTTGCATTTCACATTGCCAAATCTTTGAGAGTTCTAAACCTGCACCTTTTATTCATCTCTCAAAGATAAACCAAGGTGGAACCACTTTTTGTTCATATTATAAAGGACTATTAGTAATTAGTTCTAGGCCACATAGAAATCCAACATACTCAAAACTTCAAGCAACTTCAGAGAACTGTATCATATGGAGAATTTAACATGACTGTGTATTGACTAGTATGTCCCAATGCATTTGCTTTGTACCAACAAGATCCATTTTCACCATGGAATTTAACAAGAACATCAAAAGTGGATAATAGAACACCATTATAATAATTAGCATGGATGAAAATCAAGATAATCTCTTAATCATATCAAACTGTATCCATAACTAATTCTGATACCTTGGAGATAGTGACCGAAAACATACCTCTAACTAATATTCCTATAACAGTAGCACTTCAATTTCCTTGTATCTGATCTTATTAATAGGGCTGTTTGTGGAAAGTAACAGTATAAGTTATATAACTGAGTGCTGAGACACTTTATGCTTCAATCTATTTCTTTCTTCTTCAATATAAACAATACAAATCCTAAAGAAAAGAGAATGGGGGATAGGATGGCAGTTCAATGTAAATATGTCACACGAGTATGAATATTAGCATTGCAGTTTCATTACAAAAATTCATCTAGTTACACCCAAGCAGTTAGTAAAAAATCTAAGGCAGATTTTAGTAATATATATGGACAAATTATAATAAGAGAATGCTACTCTACATATTTTATAGGCGAGTTTATTCATAATAGAAGGATATAGAATGCTCATCATTTACCATATTTTGAAAGATCTCTGTTTTAGGTATTGAGAATCACATTGGATTTTTCCCTGACAATTTTTTGATTGATTATTTGATTACGTGTGTGCATGTACAAACTATGTATCTTCTCTGTGAAGAGGATTTCAAACTTTATGTTCATGGTCAGCAGCAGCAAGTGATTTTCATATTTTGTCATTGTGCTTCTATGATCTTGAAAATTTACTTTTTGTCCATGAACCTTATTTCATAGTCAAAATGTATTGAATTAATAATGATTTGATCTTTCAGGTGATACATGTTGCAAAATCTGATTCTCGACTTGCAAACAATGATCTTCCTCTGGACATCCAGAGATTGAGATGCCGTGCAATGTACCATGCACTTCAATTTTCTCCTCCTATAGACAATTTAGGAAAGGTTTGACTTTTTTTGTTTGTGGTTAATTCCTAGCATCCTAAATATCTCATAAAAGTGTTATAATTGCATCATATTGGGCATCAGTGATTGATAAAATGATGCAGTGGTGATTAAAGAGGCAATTACTGATTCAATTTCCGTGTTTTGTTTATTAATAAATTTTAATACTGACTAAATTGTAGCATATTTAATGAAGCAATTTAGAGAGAATGAAAAAAAAAAAGTAATGTATGTGAAACAGTAACACTGAATGAAATGTGAATTTTCCTTTCAATCTGTGCCTAAATAACTGAAAATCCTTAAAGGAAAAAGGTTTGACATTGAAAGGTGAAAGAGATCAGTGTATTAATTGCTTTCATTTAAAAAAAAGGTATTTTCAAATTATGTGGGAACAGTGGACAAATTAAATATTGGCAGTTCAAGATTTTGTGGGAAATTTTGCTATATGGGTCTGACTGACATATATTTGTCTCATCGGATGGGTAGATACTTTATATAGTATTTAGGAGTATTTGACTATAAACTTGAATTATTTAAATATTTTGAATGTTAAAAAGTTGTTTGGTTCAAAACCTTGTGAGGCTCGAGGCCAATATTTCTCTACATCGTGCTAGAAATGCATAAGATCCTAGGACGAGATATCCTTCACTTTTGATGCATTTAAGATTTCTACATGGAGCTTCCTGTTAAATTAGGTTCTGAGCATACATGACGGTGACAAAACAGAGGTTGGTGGATCGGCTGAGATCACGTGGGGAAAGGTATATTGCTCTCCATCTGAGATATGAGAAAGATATGCTATCTTTTACTGGTTGTGCATATGGTCTGACAGATGCAGAATCTGAGGAGCTTAGGATTTTGAGGTGAGAATAGTTATTATGTATATGCTACTATACTCAAGAAGTACTTTACCAGTCTACTGATTTTTTTTAATAATTGTTTCAATTCTTGTAGGGAGAATACAAATTATTGGAAAGTAAAAAATATAAATTCTACAGAACAGAGAATTGGAGGATTTTGTCCGCTGACTCCAAAAGAGGTGGGCTTTTTTCTTCATGCTCTTGGGTTTCCCCCATCAACACCAATATACATTGCAGCAGGGGAGATCTATGGTGGTAATACTCATCTTTTGGAGCTCTCCTCCCGCTTCCCTAATCTAATATTTAAGGTTTGTAAATCATTTTGTTGTCTAACTGAGTTAAGTAGTTCAACAGCATGTAATGTGACTGAGGTGCAAAGCTGGTCTGATTAATTGGTAAATGATAACAGGAATCCCTTGCTACTCCTGAAGAGCTGGAAGCTTTTGCCAATCATGCATCTCAAACTGCTGCACTTGATTACATAATCTGTGTAGAGAGCGATGTATTTGTTCCATCATATTCAGGAAATATGGCAAGAGCTGTTGAGGGACACCGCAGATTCTTAGGTCATCGCAAGACAATCAACCCAGACAGGTACTGAATTCAAGAAAATTTAATTAAATTTTTTTTTCTTGGGGCTGTCTGTACATTTCAACCACCTCTAGGTAATTGGTTTTGTTTTTCTTAATGTCCTCTATTTCCTTTTCTTGCCAAAATAATGTACAACTTTCACTCCAATGTTCTGTAGTTAAATTTCCAAAGAAAAAAGGTTAAATTAAAATTTTAATCCTTACACTTGATACTTTTTTAATTTAGTTCCTATATGAAAACATTTTATATTTTGGTCCCAACATGAAAAAAGTTACAAATTAATCCCCACCATTTGGCAACATTATAATGGTGTTGTATTATTCTTACATGGATTAAATCGAAAAAATGTTTGGTATAGGGACGATTTTTTCATGCTAGAACCATAATGAAGTGTAAATTTGTTTCATACAAGGATTAAAGAAGAGTAGTCAAGCGCAAGTATTAAATTGGATACTGATGTAATGACAATAGACAACAAGAAGAGTAGTCAAGCGCAAGTATTAAATTGGATACTGATGTAATGACAATAAACAACAAGAAGAGTAGTCAAGCGCAAGTATTAAATTGAATACTGATGTAATGACAATAAACAACAATGATCAATGATCATTTTGTAAATGTTTTTTCATACAAGGACTAAAATGTATTATTTAAATAGTCTAAAACAAAAAATGATGTTAAGTGTAGGGATAATTTTTAATTTAACAAAAGAATGCCTATTTGAATTATGATAGAAGTTGATAGGGGTCCCTTGTTCCTTTCTCTTTCCAATTATGGTGATTCAATGCTTAATCATTATTAATTTAGTTGTTGCCAACTAGAGAATAAACTCAATGTAATTGAAATGAGAATGTTGCATTAGATTAGATGCGTAGACATAATAGATAAGACAAGACTAGGAATGAATGTGATAGAAAACACAACCAGAAAAGAGAAAGAAAGTATGGAAGAGATACTGATATATGTATATTGCTGTATGAATAAGGAAATGTGAAAGATTGCACTAGCAACAGTAAACGAAGAACAAAAGATAGTAACTCAGGAGAGCACCACGCTCCCCTTCCCAAGCCACAATGGCCGCTAGATCAAAATGAATATTCTCTGCCTTTCCCTGATTCCTTCCTCTCACCTATAACCAACTCCCCTACCTCCCATCTCTAGTGGGCCCCAAAACAACCCACTCAGCCTAACTGACTAGTCCTCCCTTTTTAAACACGTGTCACCTTTTTACCTCTCCTGGAGTATACTTTCCAGGTCTTCTCTCCCTCACGTATCTGCTGCCCGGGTATCTCACTGTTAGCTGGGCTCACGAATGTATGGGCTATCAGAATGTATTAGAGAGAAAGTTGGAGGAGCGTTTATTGAATAAAAAATGATAGAATCTCACCTTTGGGCATGTGTAGAGAAAAGTTGTGGAAGCTCAAGTAATCACGGTAGATCAGATGGAGGGTTAGTCCTATTGCCAGGGAGATTGAGAAAAAGTATAAATGAAACCACAAAGATATGGATTCAGAGGTCAATAGTTCGTTCATAGACATGATTCACAATAAAACATTATGGTGTCGTTGAATCCACGTGACTGACGTTAGTGTGAAAAGACTTGGTTATTATTGTCTCTGTCTCTCAGATTTTTCTAATACATGTTCATAAGAATGAGGCTGGCACCATGCAAACAAGATGACAATGTTTTATCTCCTTTTTAATTTTGTTATTCATTTGGTCTTCAGGAAAGGACTTGTTGGAATTTTTGATATGCTGGAAACTGGAGAGATAAAAGAAGGAAGGGAACTGTCACAAATGGTGCGGCGGATGCACAAGAACAGGTGGCTTTCTTGCATTACGTTAAGTCATATTTATCCAAATAGACCCTTAAGATGAGCAGCTCATGTACTCAACTGCTCATTAGGTTCCTCTCCCCTACTGTTACTGTTGCGACCTTTCTGTCTAATTACCCAATGAAAAGTTAGAAGTTGAAATTGGTTATAACCTTCATTTTTCTTTATTAAAGTTTATTGCTTTTTTCCTTTTAATATGTAATTATTTTTTCTTTCCGTTTAATCTGCAATTACATGTTCTTTCCCATTTCACCTCTTGTTGACTTCATCTACCCAGTTATCAAAATAAAGAAGTTACTTATTTTTCATGATTATACGTGTAGGCAAGGAGCTCCAAGGAAAAGGCAAGGTCCCCTACCAGGAGTTAAGGGCCGAGCGCGATTTAGGACTGAAGAGTCCTTTTACGAAAATCCATACCCTGAGTGTATATGTGGCTCTAGAAGCAAACTAGAAATAACATGACGACGCACCAAACTGTAGTTTCAATCTAAAATTTTTGGAGGGACCGGTTTATCTGTAAATTTGTTTTTGGCAAACTAGGATTGTAAGTAGCCATTTCTGGTATGCTCGGTTTATCTGTGCCCTACAGCTATACCCTTGATCACAAATATCTTTATTTAGCATTTCTTAAGCGAATTACCTTTTTTATTTCTGGATTGTACATGATTTATATCACATTAAATTTTAATTCGTAGATAGAGTATGATTTTTATTTTAACTCCTTGTTAGTGTAAGAAACACTAATGCCAAAGAAGATAACTTTAATTTTAAAGTTTGATTTTAGCGAATTGTTTGTGTAAATATTTTTATATATCAATTAATTAAAGAGAAATGCTTTGTAGTATGAAATTTTTGCACGAATAATAGACGAAAGTAATTTACCACGCAATTCAGTATGATTTCCGCCAAATAATTTATTTTATTCCATTTTGCAGTTGATATGTCCAATGAAAAGATTACATGTAGATTTATCGCCTTTTGTACTATTTAGCAGTTCTCTTATTTAAAATATATAGTGTATATAAATTTTATATTATTACAGAAATTAACTACTGTTATTAATATGATAATTCATTATTGGGTTATAGTGTAAAAATTATTTATTTAGTATATTTAAATTAAATTCTTTTATATATATATATATATATATTAAATGTGAGTCTTTATTTTTAAATTAAAGCATTTTAAAATATTTTTTTAAATGAGTGTTTTAAAAATTATTCTCTTTCTCTTTATGTCATGAGTTTTTTTAAGTTCAATCTTCATTTAAATTATAAATTTTCATATTTTTAAAAATTATTATTTATTATTATTATTAAAGATTTCTATAATTTAATAATATCTGGACAGTGCACCAAAAATGAAGTTATTATCTTTTTCTCTCTCGCTCTCTGTGTGACATAGCTACATCGGAAATAATTTACATAAAAAAGTAATAAACTGAAATCTCTCTCTCTTTCTCACGATTTCATCTTTTAAAAAAGTTATTTCAATTCTTCTAAGAGTATTACATTCTTTTATGATTCTTTTAAAAATATGGAATGATATAATGTATGGTTATTTTAAATTTAACAAAATGTATAATTGTTTTACAGTCTTTTTTCACATATAACCATTCTTTTTATTCATACTATTATGTACATTATATAATAACGTTGGTGTCCACAACTTTTTTTTCTTGCAAATTAAGAAGGGATTTTCTTCTTCTTAGAATCTTATATTAAATTTTAATTGAAAAAATATTATGGTATAAAGTATCAATAAATTTGTTCGGTTACTTTAGATGAGACTAATTTTGACGTCAAACATTAAGTCAAGTTCTTCTAAAAACTAAAAATGTTTTATATAAACTAAAATGCTTCATATCACAACAAATTTATAATCACACTACTAAAATGTCTATGCTTTTTAATATATCACATATTATTTCTCTGATTGCGGAATAAAGAGATAAATTAATGTTATAACGTGAATTCATTTTCAGTTATTATAAACCCTGAAAATAATTCATTTATAAAGAAATGGGCATTTATACTTAAATTTGAAATAGGTATCTTATAGTTAAAAAAAAAAAAAAGAAGCTCGAATTTGTGGTTATTTTTCGTAAAAGCACACTTACTAGATTACTAATACGAACTCTAACAGATTAAATTTATTTTTTCTAAAAAAATACAAAGAAAAAGCGATAATCCTCCCCCATACCGTACCTCCAACACGAACTCCAGAATGCTGAAAGCGATAATTTCAATGCAATTGAGAAGTGAAATAGTTCAGTGGACTGAACAGAGTGATAGTAGTAAGAGATGAGTGTAATGAAAAGTTGAAAATTCTATCACTATTCTTCATCGCCGCTAAACATGAATTCTCACATCGCAAATACCATGGATTTGCTTCAACTCCCAAAACCCTTCTTGCCTCCTAAAACCCCTTTCCCTCATTCTTTACCTTCTCGCTTTCTCACAACTACATTCCCTCGTCGCAACTTAACAAATCGATGGAAACTCAGAACCACTGCTTCGAATTCCGTTTCCGACACTGCAACGTCCAAACAAGAGCAAGAAGAAGAAGAAGACACCGAGTCCATTCAGCTATTCGAGGTTCGCTACAGCAGAAAATAAACTTGAATTTTCCTTTTCATTTTCATTATGGTGCTCGCACGTGCACGTGGGTCGTGTTTGGGTTAATAGTTTAATTAATTTCATTATTGAGTACGTTCTTCTGAAATGAGAATTTATTCGTAAGTTTGATTATTAAGCTTAATGAAATAAGTTAGAAATAGCTTAGTTTGATTATAAAATGGTTATTACTTGTCACTTTGATGAGTTCAAATAAGCGCTTCCATACTCCTCATTTTTCTGTTTGGAACTTGTGAATTCATGAGAAAATTATGTGCAGAAACTGAAGGAGGCTGAAAGAAAACGGATAAGTGAGTTGGAAGAACTTGACAAGAAGGCAAACGTGCAGTTAGAGAGGCAGCTTGTCATGGCTTCTTCGTGGAGCAGAGCTTTGTTGACCCTGCGTGGAAAACTCAAGGGAACTGAATGGGATCCTGAAAATTCACACAAGATAGACTTCAGCGATTTTTTGAGACTTCTTGACTCTAACAATGTTCAGTTTATGGAGTACTCTAATTATGGTCAAACGATAGCAGGTGAGAAATTTTCTTTTCCAGGACTATATATAATATGCTTGATATGAAACTAGTTGGCTACATGCTGTACAAACATTTTGTGGGCTTTATATTGATTATTGGCCCTAGTGATGTGAACATTTCGTAGGAGCATCTTATGATAGATAACACAGATAAGTGGGTGATGCGTTTAGAAGTTTAGCCAAAAGTGATTAGAAAAGACTCTGCTTTCTATTAGCTATGCATTTTGTCAATTCTAAGTTTGATTTTTGTGGTTATGTGAAGTTCTTAACGTTGGGTTGCACTTGCTATTTGGTTGATGAAATTGATTCATGATCATTGCCTTTTTTGTGCTTGATGCATTGCTGTCTGTTTGAGAAAATCTAGCTCTATTTATCGTGAATTAAGTAATGAAGATGAAAGGATATGGTTTTACCATTTCTGTACGTGATGAAAAAAGTAGGTAGAAAAAGGAAAGATCAACAGAAAAAACCCCAGAATGGAATAATAATTTCCATTGTCCCTCAATGTGCACTTCTGTTTTGGACAGTGTCTGCAGTGACAAGAACTGGGTAAAAGGAATGCTCAAGTGGCAGTATATTTGTTTGTCATTACATGCAACCAAGGCTTTTGAAATTTTAATAACTCAAGAAGAGGAGGAGAAAGAGAAATTCTTTTTTGGTGCAATTTTGGTGATTGAGCAGGTTGACTGTTATAGAGCATTTGTCTCCTTTAGGTAGACTGTTCTGTTTTGTTAGGGTTTGAAGGTTTTAAAAAATTTCATTAACGGAAATGAACTTCTGTGTGCTATTTTAGTCATTTTAAAATATGTTCTCCTTCTTAGAGAGCAATTGACAAAAACATTGTATTGCGGTGTCACACTGTAGTTCATGCCATTGTTGCTTTCAGCTCAGCTATGTAAAGTGGTCAGTCTTGTTGAATTGTTGTTTTGCTCAATATTTGTTGCTATGCTTCTGCAGTTATTCTACCATATTACAAAAATGGGAAACCGTTAGGAACTGAAGGGAATCCTAAGGATATTGTTTTTCGGCGTCATCCAGTCAATCGAATGCCAATTGATAGTTGGAATGATGTTTGGAGAAAGCTTCATCAACAAATTGTAAATGTTGATGTCATTAATGTTGATGCTGTACCCGCTGAAGTATACTCAAGTGTTGCAACTGCAGTCATATGGTCTATGCGTCTTGCCCTGGCTGTTGGATTTTATGTGTGGATTGATAATTTGATGAGACCAATATATGCAAAGTTGATACCTTGTGATTTGGGAACTCCTAGCCAACAAATTAAGCAGCCACTCAGAAGACATGCACTTGGTTCTCTAGGAAAGAGTCGGTAAGTGGAGAAATATTCTGTGTTTTCCCTGTTCCATTTCCCATTAGTTGTTGGGAGTTGTATATATGCTGTGTATTGTGATTTTTTAACTGGTTGATGTGTGTCACTCAAGCAGGTAGTACCTTTAGGTTAGGTGAAAAATATGACATTCCTACATTTTCATTATTTTTAAAAATAAATGAAATTTAGTAGAATCTCTCTGTAATGCCTATATGTTAAATTTTGACAGCTAAAGAGCATCTACTTACTATTGCTGTCAGAAATTTGTCTGCAACTTCTACATTTGTTTCATTAATCTAGTCCAAGTTCGGATCAGTCTGTGATTATATAGTTACTGACAGTTTACGTCCTAAATACCTTGCAACTACATCCACTGTAAACTTGTGGGCCTGGATTAGCTCTACTTTATTGCATAAATTACTTATAAGAGATCTGCTTTTCAATCAAACTTTTGAGATTGAATATGTTCTTCTCAAGTTTCTTTTAGATATTGGTAGGGGACATTGTGCCTTCCCAGCTTGGATTTGCCTATCCATTTTTGTGATTTTTTTGCAATATCTAAACCATTTTGCAAACCTTTTACATCAGAAGAATTCTGGTTTTGTGGTGTCTAGTTCACAGCAATGGATTAAATATTGAATATTGTTGGAAAGTTTCAAGTGCAATTTTTTTAAAATGAAATAAAAGAAATTTTGTTAACAACTAGTCTCTTTACACCTGCAATCTAATTGTTATGTTTTCCCTCAGGGCTAAATTTATATCTGCAGAAGAAAGAACTGGGGTTACATTTGATGATTTTGCTGGCCAGGAATATATAAAGAGGGAACTACAAGAGATTGTTCAAATTTTAAAAAATGATGAGGAGTTTCAAGACAAAGGAATTTATTGTCCAAAAGGTGTACTTCTTCATGGGCCTCCTGGAACTGGCAAAACTCTACTGGCTAAAGCCATTGCAGGTGAAGCAGGGTTGCCTTTTTTTGCAGCTAATGGCACAGATTTTGTAGAGGTGCTCTCTTTTCCAAAGATGTCTATATGCATTGAATAGAAGTTAGGAAGTATAACTTTGGAAATTTTTTTGTTCAATATCTAAATCCAAAGTCATTGAATTTTTTGAAGATTGTGATTATAGATAGAATATAGAGTAAATGGAAAATTTGGTCCTCCAGAAAAACAAGTGTAGTGTAGCCATTTGGTTCTTGCATAATAATTATGTCTAAATGACATTGACAGGTCATTTTGGTGTATTTGTTATTGAAGGACTAAATTGATAGCATTTGTATCTTTATGGGACCAAAATGTTTTTATTCTAAAATTTGACAAGGTTAACTGGAGATTTCAACATATTAATCATTAGCTAATGAAACAATCTATAGCTATTCCTTCTTTCGATCAATACACAGATACACACAGATAATGAGATAAATATGACATTAATTTAAGTGTGCTAACTGCTTGTATCTACAACATGCACTGCATAATATTCTTTTGTCTAAATGAATGAAATGTATGATGACATGATGTCATCATACATATTGACATATACCCATGAAATGTGAAATATTGCATGCATAAGAGTTGTCTTATTTGTTATTACTTGATTGATTTGGAACTTTGAAATTAAATGAAATTGGCTCATTTAATTTTTCTTTCCCCCCAGATGTTTGTAGGAGTTGCTGCATCCCGTGTTAAAGATCTCTTTGCTAGTGCAAGATCATTTTCACCTTCTATAATATTTATTGACGAGATAGATGCTATTGGTAGCAAGCGAGGAGGACCTGATATTGGTGGAGTAAGATATGAACAATTTTTACATTGCTTTTGTTCTCCCAAATATGTGTATATAAGTTATGCGGAAAAATGAACTACTTCAGATTGTATATTTCTGTAGCATTAATGTTTGAATTTACTTGGAATTGTTAAAGTTCTATTTAAGATATTATCAATTTTCCTGAGGCTTATCTTTTTGAATAAAAGAAGAAATTTATCGAGACAAAGGGAAGGAGAATACAAATGGAAGGATAAGAATCCTCCTTAAAATAAAAGAAAAAGAAAAGGCAAACAAGAAGAAACGAAAGACATGGCTATTTACTTTTCGCATTCTAGGTTCTCACTTGTTCCTTCTGATGAAACCTCTGCAATTACATTATATAGGGAGGTGCTGAAAGGGAACAAGGTTTACTTCAGATACTGACTGAGTTGGATGGATTCAAAGTTACCACAGCACAGGTAAGTATTTAATTTGTTGCCAGCATCATAAAGATGTTATTTGACATCGTAAACTTGAATTTCAGGTGCTTGTGATAGGTGCTACAAATAGATTGGATATTCTTGATCCTGCCCTATTGAGGAAGGGTCGTTTTGACAAGATCATTAGAGTTGGTTTGCCGTCAAAAGATGGAAGACTTGCAATTTTGAAGGTATTTTACTCCCACATCCTTTTTTGGCTTGAGATCATAGCTTCCTCTCATATTTCATTATCTTTACTTACTTTTTTCTCTTCCTTTTGATGCACACTACTAGGTGCATGCCAGGAATAAATTTTTTCGTTCAGAGGAGGAAAAGGAGACTCTACTTCAGGAAATTGCAGAACAGACAGAATATTTTACAGGGGCTGAGCTACAAAATATACTGTAAATAATCTTTGATAGATATTGTTGCATAAATCTGTCATGAGATTTTATGCTAATATTATCATGAATTAAATGACAGGAATGAAGCTGGAATTTTGACAGCCAGGAAGGATTTGGATTACATTGGACGAGATGAGCTGCTTGAGGCATTAAAAAGGGTTGGTTTCTCGGCTTCTTTCTGTCTGGGCAATAATATTCTTTCTTAGTCAATCTTCAATCATTTTTGGTGCAATTTTATACCCTCTTATAAATCTTATGAATTTGCAGCAAAAGGGAACATTTGAAACAGGGCAAGAGGATAGCACTGAAATTCCTGAAGAATTGAGACTGAGATTGGCATACAGAGAAGCAGCTGTTGCTGTTCTTGCATGTTATTTTCCTGAGCCCCACCGTCCTTTTGTCGAGGTCGCTGTTCTTTATGTTGTTTAGCAAGTCTATGGTGTGTGGACTGTGGATACATGGTTGTTTCATCTGTGTCACTGTGTGTTTATTGTTTGCAGACTGATATAAATTCTATCCGCAGCCACCCAAATATGCGTTATGCTGAAATTTCTGGCCAGGTTTTTGCAAGGAAATCAGATTACATAAACTCTCTAGTGCGTGCTTGTGCTCGTAAGTTGTTGAGTGTCCAGTCATTTTTGAAAGTTTTTTTTTTTTTTTTTTTTTTTGAAATCTGAATTGATTTGCAAGTTTTTCATCATTTAGGTATTACTTTTCAAATAATTTCATGTTCCATATCTTGAATAATAATTGTTTTAGATTAAATGGCTGTTCAGTAGTATGAGGATTGCATTAAGATGATTTTTATGTCATTGTTATACACATTAAGTGCTTTTTTTTTCTCTGGAATGTCCTTTTACTTTTTATTATGTGAATCTTTGATGTTATTGAATGGCACCCTATTTTATATCATCTTAAATTTTAACCCCGATATCAATCATTGGTTTGACAACTTTGTCAAGGATTGTACTTGTAGCAGTGGGTTTCAGCATGTGAACTTCCAATGTAAAATAAACTATTTTGGTCATGAAAACCATCGAAGGCAAGCTTCTTTAAGAATACAAAGAACTTCCTGTAGCTAGCTACAAAGATGATTAACTAAGATTTGTGCTTTTGTTGTTAAGCTATTTGCTTATTGAAATTTGTTTGTAGCTAGAGTAATTGAGGAGGAGATGTTTGGGATTGAAAACTTGTGTTGGATCTCTGCAAAGGCAACATTAGAAGCTTCAAGGCGTGCAGAATTTTTAATCCTGCAAACAGGAATGACTGCTTTTGGGAAAGCATATTACAAAAACCAAAGTGATCTTGTGCCTAATGTATGTGTGTGAGATCTAACAACCTGTGCTTTAATACACATCCATTCCCTAGACAGAAGTATTTTATGTGTATAGTTGTATCACAACTTATGTTGAAGAGTTTTGTACAGCTTGCCATGAAGCTTGAAGCACTTCGAGATGAGTATATGCGTTATGCTACAGAGAAGTGTTCATCTGTACTAAAAGAATACCATTCAGCGGTTGAGACAATCACAGGTCTGGTTCTCTTGTGAGTTGCATGTAGACAAATGAACACTTTCTTCTAGCAATTATTTAGATTATAAGTTAAGACTTAGGGATTAAGTTTTTACTGTAGAATAAGTTAACGATTACTTATTATGCAGATATTTTGCTTGAAAAGGGGCAAATAAAAGCTGAGGAGATTTGGTACATTTATAAGAGTGCTCCTCGTATAACTCAGGTTAGATCTTAAACTAAAGTGCAGCACATTGTCCTGTTTCAGTTGCCTGCCAATATGTGTGCGTGATTTTGAGATTTTCTAGTCACATTTTGATATGCCATGCATGATCTGAAAGTATTATCACATTTCAAGATGGTGATTTCAAAGATGTTAATTATTTGTCAGTTGGTTGTTGATTTTAAGTGTTACAAACTTAGAATTTCAGTATGGAAGGCTCTAGACATAGCATTTTTTTAAATATTAATTTTGGCACAATAAATGGTAATCTTTTGAGGTTCTATTTTTTTCCTTTGTCTTGTTTAGCCTCCTGTAAGTCCAGTTGATGAATATGGAGCGCTTATTTATGCGGGACGATGGGGAATCCATGGGATCAGTCTTCCTGGAAGGGTTACATTTGCACCGGGCAATGTTGGATTTTCAACCTTCGGTGCTCCTCGTCCTACAGAGGTATATGTCAATAACCTTGTTTTATGGGCTGCTGTAATTTGTCATAAAACTGATTTGTGCTCTTTCATTTTTCCTTCTTTTTACTGCAGACACAAATTGTTAGTGATGAAACTTGGAAACTAGTAGATGATATCTGGGATAAAAAGGTTCAAAACATTAGAGATGAAGCTTCAAGGGTGATTGAAGAAGAGAAGGAAAAGCCACAACTTTTGATGGCGAGTCATTTTCTTTGAGAGGAACTTATATTTGACCAGCAGGTTTGTGGGCATCTTATTATATTCAAGCTTCAATTATCTTGGTGTTTATAGTATATTGGTTTTGGTTGTAACGAGCTATGGAAAAAGGTGACAACTGGAACATGCTTTATTTGACTTTAATTGCCATTGACAGGTGGCATGTACTGAGGAAAAATGATACAAAATCAGTTAATTATGTCGCAGAAATAGCAACAATGGATGAAACTAGTTACTCGTTTTTTCTCCTCCGATCTAATTTGCATTGTTAAATTTTATCCTGCCCTTTTCTTTGGGAAGCTGCGCCATCAGGATGCTATCTTTCCGTTTGGCCACAGCTCTTTATCAGCGTGAATATCCACTTGAAATGCATATTATCAAAATGATGATTGATACTCTGGAACAAGCTGAAGGTATTCAATTTTGTGAACGAAGAGTACGAGACCTTTTTTGCCACAGATGGAACAGGGAGAGTTTAGTCTGATCAGTCAAGTGAACTGCATTACGACCCATATTGTAATTTATCACATGGATACGTTATTGAGACAAATGTAAATTTATCAGTTATCTCAAATGTTTCTATATAGTTATTTTGTGATCGTTGTCGTTAATGAATGGTGCAGATTGTTGACTGATTTTCCATTACATGAATATTCATCATCAACCCTTCACAGCAGACAGTGGTTAGCCCCTTATAGCTCTAATGTCTGATGTAAATCTTGTACACCAAAAGTGATGTGCCAATATTAGTACTCTAAATTCTATTTATCCATTAACCTTCATGTAAAACAATTCCCAATATTTATCGAGCACACATCTTACTCTTCGTTGAGTTGAGGATTGTGACCATTATCTTCTTCTACATTTGATTCTTTGACGTGCCTTGTATAATATATAGTATTGCACCCGCTCCTCTTTCGCATTCGATTTTCACTCCAAACATGTTCCAGTTAGTTCCTTGAATTTCTGAATTCTAGATGCACTCTGTAGTCTAGATTTTTATTTTTAATTTTTTCTTTGTAGTCTTGAAAAGATAATAAGTCCAGAGAGATTATTGTACCACCACCGATTTTTTACACTGATCTCACAAAATCGCGCTTAATCGATTGCCAAACTGGTTTTATCATTTAATTTATAGTACTTATGTCTCCTGAAACTTGTAGTGCTAGAAATACTTTTAATTACATCTGAATGGATTTGTTCCTTTTGATCGTCTCAACTTGTTTAAAACCAATGTAATTATATCTGTTTTAAAATCGGTATATACTTCCTACGGAATATTTTTTGTCAACAAGTAGGGCAAATTACAATTATTTTCCAATGCAGTTTGAAAGAATTGTTGAAGGAAAAGTATTCAAGGTATTACATTTTTAACGTCTATGCTTTTGACACTGAAAAGCGGGATTCATGGATATTTTAAAAATGGTGACGTATTCATATCATACTTGTATCAGATAAAAAGGTTCCAATTCGTTGAATGTCGTGGCCATGAGATCGGCACAATCACGCTCACTACGAGCTTCGATGCTCAAGGTGTCAGTGTCGATGGTAGCATTTACAATATCTTATCCGAGGAGTTTCATGAGCATAAACATGAACATCGAAACTGGGCTTTTAAGAAATGATTATAATGATTATTAACGAGACCCTGAAACATCTGATAGACTGGTATGCTCTGTTATCTGTGTAACAAGATTAAAATGTTAGCAAGATTAATCTTTAAAAGTGTCTTAAAAATAATATATTAGAGGGTATCTTGCTAGCATTTTTCTGTGTTATGTTTCCACATGTTATTTGTTAGCAAAGCCAAATGGCAAAAAAAATATCAAAATTCATTGCGCTACTGAGAATATAACAATATTGTCATTAAAATCATTGATGATTAATAAAATATATGGTGAAAATAATAGAGCGTAAGAATAAAGTTACTCATTGTGAACGTCAATGGTGATTTATCATGTAAATAATTTAATTAAGAGAAATACTTTATAGTACAAATTGATTCCACGAATTAATACGACGAAAACCGGAATAAAAAATGTACGCTTAATTTCTGCCAAATCCATTAGTTTTGTACATATTTTATTTTAACTTTATCCAATAAAATATAATCACAGGGTTTCGTGTTAAATTCGGATTGAAATTATTCATTCTAATTAGCCAATCTCTTTTAAAAATATTAATATCATAACACCCATTTAACAATTAACATTCTTCATTTTTCTCTTTGGGTTACATTATTCTATCTTTTTTTTATATCTCTTTAAGTGTAACTAATTACTTACATAAAAGTCAACTACGACTTTAACTAACAATATTCGGCCTTATGGTTCTATTCCGATCCAGTTGAGACCTGTAGAATTGAAACTTGGAACGTTATATGCTATATGCAATTTGATTTATTATATTATCTCACAAAAAGGTCAACGGTCAACCACCAGAAACCAGACACTAGAATTGTTAGAAAGACCAAAGGCGCCGCTGCTTGTATGTTTGTGAGTGATGAGAAGAACAAAAACCAGCAGATTCCATGGTTTTTCTTGGTGGTACGTACAACTTTGAAAACTTATTTTTAAAATTGGAGATGAATATTCTTCTTCTTTGGTGCACTATATATATTCTACAGAAGCCAACCCATTTCTGCAGCAAAAAAGAAAAGTACTATTGTATTCTGTGTTTGTGTGAGTCATCATCAAAGGAGTTTAAAAGCAAAGAAAAATGGCTGCATCCACTGCTGGAAAGGTTATACGCTGCAAAGGTATTCTTCTGCTATATACAACTATTCCCGTTGCATCGGTTTTATTTTGTTTACGTGTGTGGACAAATAATAAAAATATATATAATAATTTTTTATGAAAAATTATAATTATTATGACATAATTTAATATATCAATAACAATAAATATTATAATTTTGTATAAAAATTTATTGTTTATTAATTTTTTTTGTTATCCGTACTTTAACGAAACCTCTATTTTATTTATTGTGGTTCTTCTTTTCACTTCATAAATGGTCTAAATTATCAATACATTGCCTTTCCTATTTGCATAACTATACAGTTTTACTTGTTATCTGTGTCGAAGTTCTTTAAAAGTTAAAGCACAAAACTATAATTATTAATTAGAGAGATATGTTGATTAGCTATTAAAATCACGTTTATAACTATGCACCTTACCCTCTAAAAGTTGAAAAGCCAAATCCATCTATACTAGTTTAACGTGGTCATATTCATCCGCTGCTATTAATGAAATCAGACATGCATTTGTTTACCAGTATACACAATAGATTACAAAAATATACTGTAATTGTGTCTTCCACTGTGTTTTCTTTATATTCCTGCCTAATTGCTACTGTTAAGCCATGCAAACATCAACTTTTTTTAATTCCTTCCATTGGTTTTATCTACTTCTGGATAATTCATATAATGTGACTTCTACCTAACTTCTAACGTCGATCATTTGTGCAAGTCTTCTCTTATTTCTTATAATGGAATGGTAGTCTGCTAATGTCTATTGAAAAAACTTACGAATATTTTATAAACAAAAATTGTGATTCTTATAAAAGAACTTACGACGGATATAATTTAAAATATATTCTAATAAATTTAAAATCGAAAAATTTATAACCTAAGTTATCGTTTTAAAAAAAATATAGCTGCTTAAATAACCTGTGTATCCTAAAAGTTATTTAAAAACTTACCGATTACTGAAAAATGTCACAACTCATGAGACTTCAACTTGTAATTTTGCTATAAATGAGTTGATTTAATGTTACTGCCCTGTAGCTGCGGTGGCATGGGAAGCTGGAAAGCCACTGGTGATAGAGGAGGTTGAGGTATCTCCACCACAAGCAAATGAGGTTCGTGTCAAGATCTTGTTTACCTCACTCTGCCACACTGATGTCTACTTCTGGGAAGCTAAGGTAATCAATAATTAATCATTCTATATGAAGTGATTCAACTATTTCGCCAAAGTCTAAACTATATTATTGAACACATGCTGACATTCTTAAATTTAATATTTTACAGGGACAGACACCATTATTTCCACGCATATTTGGTCATGAAGCGGGAGGGTATGCACAATTTTCATATGAAAAGCAAACAGCTTGTTTCTTAGTCTCTATTAGCATGTTTGATTCACGTTTGAATAAATATAGATTAATGTGACTAGTTATAAATTTTACGGACGTTTCAACGTGTTTTCAAACATATACTATGTTGATCATCTATAGCTTATGCTTTATTTTTCTTTGCTTTCAGAATTGTGGAAAGTGTTGGTGAGGGTGTGACGGATCTGAAGCCCGGTGATCATGTGCTTCCAGTGTTCACAGGAGAGTGCAAGGAGTGTCAGCACTGCAAATCAGAAGAAAGCAACATGTGTGACCTACTAAGGATTAATCCTGACCGTGGAGTAATGCTGAACGATGGCAAGTCTAGGTTTTCAATCAATGGACAACCAATATACCACTTTGTTGGAACCTCCACTTTCAGTGAATACACTGTAGTCCACGTTGGCTGTCTTGCCAAGATCAACTCTGCTGCCCCACTTGACAAAGTTTGTGTTCTTAGCTGTGGAATCTCAACAGGTTACAATAACTACATTCTTCTCTTTTTATCAATTGAAGTGTTCTCTTTTAAAGAGAATGTTCACTTTACTCTTAAGGGCTGAGGTTCAGCGACTAAAGATTGAAAAATTTTATTTGAAAAGAAAGTATTTACTATATTGAGATATAAAAGTGTAATCAATACTTTGTTTTTCATTAAAAACGTACTAATATTAGTTGTTTAAAATCGGCTCTTAGAGCTGAGAATAACAAAGTGCTCTTTTAATTAACAATTTTAATGGTTTTAATATTGAAGGTCTTGGTGCTACATTGAATGTTGCAAAACCAACCAAAGGTTCTTCAGTAGCTATATTTGGATTGGGAGCAGTGGGTCTTGCCGTGAGTTGTCTTTTACCAAATAAAAGAAAATTTTGATGCATCTATTGCTGCAAATAACTGATTTTGCTTTGACATTTTCTGCAGGCTGCTGAGGGAGCTAGACTTGCTGGTGCTTCTAGGATTATTGGAGTTGATTTGAATTCTAAGAGATTCAATGAAGGTGAGAGAATGAGTTAAGAAACCTTGAGAAAATATACATGGGGTATTTGGAAATGCTTATTTTTTAAACTTATGGAAGTGATTATGGCCTTTTTAACTGTTCCAGTAAGCTTGATAGTCAAACTTATGAACAAACTTCCATTTAATAAGAATTTATTAAATAAGTACTTAATTAAGCTGTTTATCCAGAGATGTCTATAAGCCTCATAATCATCCTGCCATTGAGGATCCTGAATCCCGATACATCAAAGATATTAAATAACCCGGTTCTAATTCTGTTCTGAATATGCTTATTCTTGTTTACAGCTAAGAAGTTTGGTGTTACTGAGTTTGTGAATCCAAAAGATTATAACAGGCCCGTTCAAGAGGTTTGTCAGTCACCTAATATTAACTTACTAGTCATGAAATTATACATAGATTTTACACTCACTTGAATCTCTTCAATTCTTTTCAGGTAATTGCTGAAATGACTGGTGGGGGAGTTGACCGAAGTGTTGAGTGTACTGGAAGTATTAGTGCTATGATCTCTGCATTTGAATGCGTTCATGATGTAAAGTTCCTCAAGCTTCTTCTCTAGTCATTATATTTTCATTGATTTTGATTACAGTGCATTATGCATGCCTTCAAATGCAATTAATGTGTTTGATTTTATGTTACCAAAAATTCTTCAGCTTGTAAAAGAAAATGTAATAATTATTTACTTTTAGGGAACTAAACACACAAGATCCTCCCTTCCCATTTGGATGTGTTTTATGAAGTATGAACATTTCCTGAGGCACCCGCGGGGGGACACCAAATGGTATAAAAAAATTATTCAAACAAATGTAATAAAGTACAAAAATATAATGTAGGTGTTCATAAATATTGTTCAGATAATGGAACTCCTCATTTTAACTTCCTCTGTATTACTTTGCAGGGATGGGGTGTTGCTGTACTTGTCGGGGTACCAAGCAAAGATGATGCTTTCAAAACACATCCTATTAATGTCTTGAACGAAAAGACGCTCAAGGGTACTTTCTTTGGAAACTATAAACCACGTTCTGACCTCCCATCGGTGGTGGAGATGTACATGAACAAGGTTGGTCTCTTCATTCATGAGAATAGTGTTTGACTTTGGAATTAGTGTTCCACTTTTATTGTTTAGATTTTTCTAACTTTTGTAACATTGCATGCACATGATTTAAAACAAATAAATAGTAGATTTTTATTAAAATTTGTTACATTGAATAATATCAATGCATTGAATTATGTAATTTTTAAAAAAAGCTTGCTACATATAAAATCTTATCAAGTGCAGCATAGGTTAGAAAAATCGTTATTTTATATGCATCCACACATTATAAGTTGAAATTGATTGGAAACAATCTTAATCATGAAAGTATGTTACATGTTACCTTGTCTCTGTGATTAATGATTACAGATAAGAGTGTTTCTTCAGTCAAAAGATGCTTCATGTTGCTATTACTTGGAAAAGTTGAAAATTGATAGCAATTTCTACGTGAAGTTGCTTTTGTTGACTAAATGGTCCTGTTGTTGGATTTAGACACTTAAATGAGTATCAACCTTTTCTCACCGCTTGTCACTTGGGATCTTACTCTTTTTCTTCTGAATTATTTCAAATGTGACAGGAACTTGAACTGGAGAAATTTATCACCCATGAAGTACATTTCTCAGAAATCAACAAGGCCTTTGACTACATGCTTAAAGGGGAGAGCCTGCGTTGTATAATCCGCATGACTGAGTAGAATTTCTTTAAATTAATTACTTTGAGTTTTGTAAAAATAAAATAAACTCTACTTGAGCTTGTATGTATCTGTGGTGGTCACTGTAGCAAAATAATGTCCATAATTTATGCTTTAAATTTCATAGGGAAGTTATTGTTTGTGTATCTCTAGTAAATCTCATGTGTTTGTACAAAATAAAACAAAGTACTAATGTACAGATGTGTTTTCATACAAGTAGATATATGCTTCAATTATTGAGTGGAACTGAAGTTTAAAATATTTATGTTGGGAATTAATCAAATCATATTCCTATGAGTTGATACAGTTTTCTACGCTGTTGTTATTCATAATTGGAAATTTTAACTTTTTAAGTAAAAATCAAAACCTTCTGAGAAGAGTCTAAACATAAAAGTTTTGTTACTTTAACGTCTGTGAAATCTAGTAAAGGAACCAATAATTGTGAGGCTAAAGCTTTTTCCGGTGCCAATGCACTGTCCAAATGTTGAGGCCTTTTTCAATTGCCAAAGCAGGAATGTTTCAGACCATGACAGATATGGGATTGAGAGTGTAGAGTATTGTTGGTTTCTGACCCGTGACTCTGCGCTCTTTGATGTTTACTACCGGACAACCAAAGCCTTATGAGTAGCATACTTGCTACTTCCAAATAATGCCCTGAATCTCTCACAAACTAGTGAATACAAGAAGAAAAAATCAACTCATTTTGACAACTTAAGACTAGCTGTTAGAAATATAATATAAAAATATCTGTCTTTGGCCAACAGTTCAAGCTTTAGGATATTAAAGTCTATCTAGTTATAATATTGAACCACCTTCATATGTCTAATCTTGCAAACTTTGTACATCAAATGTTCAATCATGAATATGAAGTGGTATGTTAAAATGTTTCACACTTATAATATGATAAAAATACTCCTTACAAAACTTAGACATCTTTCTCCCTGACATCCTCATTCTTCTGATAAAATGAGTTTTATTTTACCACAAGATAAGTGGACCCACGAATTATTCGTGCTTCAAGACCCAAAGATTCTTGCATGAAAGAACGTAAAAGAAATATAATATAAAAGTACTCATATACATTTACCCTACAGTTTAGGCTTCTGGGATAGTTAGTTCATAATAACACTAGCCCCCCAAAATCATATTGACAGCCAAAAATAATGTCCTAGAAGGTGAGTTTCTTTTATGAACAGAGTTTATCTCGTGACACATGATCAAACCGTGTGCATCTGTTATATGCTACATACACTACTAGTCCTACATAAAATATTGCTAGAATTTTTCGTGCAGTTACACGCTTAAAGAATAAGTGGAATATTTATTCATAAAACAGAAGACAAGGAAGACCTAAATAAGATCTTAAGAAGAAAAGGAACCACATAACTCTGCTTCTTGACTTTATTGCCCCACTTTTGTGCATACTTTTAACTCTCTAGACTCTCCTTCCAATTCAACTCTCCCCTCAAAAACTTCTCAAATAAACCAGAATAAGATACCAACACCCTCTTAAAACTCTATAATGGCTTCTAAGATCTTCTTCCTATTTCTCCTCTTTCTAGCGCACCCTCATCCATATGTACTAGTGAACGGAGATGCCACTTTGATAAAGAGAACTTGCAAGAACACCAAGTACTACAATCTCTGCTTCTCTTCTCTCAAATCTGATCCTAGCAGCCCTAATGCGGACCCTAAAGGCCTAGCTGTGATCATGGTTGGGATTGGAATGACCAATGCCACTTCCACTTCTTCCTACTTGTCTTCCAAGTTGCTTAGCCCTTCCAACAACACAACCTTGAAAGGGGTCTTCAAAGAGTGTGCAGTTAAGTACACTTATGCTGGTGATGCCCTCCAAGCTTCAGTGCAAGATTTGGCTAATGAGGCTTATGACTATGCTTACATGCACATCTCTGCCGCCAAAGATTACCCAAATGCTTGTCACAATGCTTTCAAACGCTATCCTGGTTTGGTTTACCCTCCTGATCTTGCTCTTCGAGAAGATGGTTTGAAGCATATATGTGATGTGGCAATGGGGATCATTGATAATCTCAATTGGTAGGCGCATGCATTTGAGTATAAATTTCACTTTGTTATGCAAATCATACATATATTATATCTCTGCGGTTAAATTTGGCTACTATGTATATCTTTTTATGTACTTGGTCTCGTATGAGACATTCTCGTGTTCTTCTAAAAGCCAGAGTTGTTCTATTGCTTACATTTAAATTTGATAGCTGCTACAACTGAGAATAATAACTAATAAAGCATACAAGTTAATTTGCATGTTTATCTAGCCCTTGCCCACTTATTTGGCTAAAGTTACTTAGTGCTGCCAAAAAGTGGACAAGGATGTGCAAATAATTTATCTACCAATAATGTAAGTATATGAATTATTTGGGAGATCTTTGACGAGTGCGTAGGTCATAGTCAAGTTAAATTAATTAAGAAATTTAGAAAAAGTTCAATAATTGTTTCAAATTACTGTATCATGATAGATATTCTTGTGGAAAAAAATTCATTTTTCTCACGAATAGACATTTAAAAAGTTGATTTAAAGATGTATTAGAAATTGACTACACTAACACAGCTCAATTCTTATTTTAGCCATGATTTTAGTCAAATTATCTTAACATAAATTTGTAGGATATTTATGAGTGACTCAGCATATAGATTGAGTAGAATCTAAACGTATTATTGCAGGAAATGAATTGGACTTGACTTAATCCAAAATCTAACTCAGAAAAAATATTGCCCAAATTTTATAAATACTACTTTGATTCTATTCTTACTCCGCTTTGAATATCTTATTAAGATATAATTTATTAAGATCGGACATAAAAAAAAAAAACAAAAAATCATTAAGATTTTAAGATGATGTGTACAAAAGCTCTTGAATATACAACTATAAATAGTTAAAATTAATTATAATAATATTAATTATTTATGTATAGCTGTAAAATTATCAAGAATAGCACTTACGCAGTGTACATGGACGTCAAAGCACAGGTAAAAATGTGTCAAAATCCACTCATATCAAATGCCATGATTTTAAAATGTCAATACAAAAAATGTCTTTGTAAGTTTTAAGTAGAAAACAAAGTTCTATGGTTAGATTGTTTTAATACACCTAATCTAATGAGAACAAGAGAAACAAAAGAAGTATATCGTGTTATACATGTGCACATACACGTCTAGATACAAGATTCACATAAGTTATTTTAAGGGTAATTTTAACGAAAGTTATTTTAATTCTTTATAAATATCAAATTTTATTAATTCACTTATTAAATTAATTTTTTAAAATAGATTAAGTTTATAAAAAGTTATACGAATAAAAAAACAAATTAATAATTTGTCAGACAGGTTTATTTCAATATATAAATAAATATTAATTATAAAATTAAATATATACAAACATCTTATTATTTAAAATTTGATATACATAATAAGTATCAACATATAATTTTATTTAAATAGGGTTAGCATTACTATTAGTGATAGATTTAACTATTCAAAAGTGATGCTGGAAAATATATAAATATTTTGGATATCCTTTTGTAATATCGACCTTGATTAGTTATCCAAGATTCAAGGACAAGGAGCAATACTCATAAATATATATACCCCATAATTTGATGGCTAGAAAAGAACAAGGAGCAATACTCATAAAATTAACAATAAATTGACCTTGATTATCTCACATTAGATCTTTACAGACTATACCTCTACTGGTATAGAAAGAAGATTCATCCACATTCAACTGAAGTTATCCAAGATTAAGAGGAGTCCATTTGATTATAATTTGATCCTTAGCGATCCTAAAAAAGTTTTAAAATCACTCCTGAAACATGAACTAATATACTTGCATCAAACAAAATTTTTCAAATAAGCAATTTAAGTTGGATAAAGGACGATTGAAATGTAAAAAAATTTATATCTTTCCATAAGTACCGTATAATAATACTAACTAATTTATTTTAGTTAGAAAAATTATTGAAAACACAAACTCATTGATTAAGCAAAATAAAATGATTTCAAACACGACTAGCATATTAAATAGTGCAACTTTTATAAAGACAAAAACATAATTAAGCATAATTTTTTAATTTACTCAAAATTAGTTTATTATATTTTTCACTCCCTCAAATCAAGTCTTATATGTATTTATTATTTAGACAAACGTAATTAATATTTTTAAAGAATAAAAATAAGAAAATAGTATTAATAGACTTTATTATAATTTTTAATATATTTTGATATTTTTAAATAAAAAATATTTATTAACTTGCTAATCAATACTTTTAAAATAATGAATAATTAAACCTTAGAAAGGATAATGACGTGTTTAAATTAATATCATATTTGTTTAAATAGAAATATATTCTAACATTATAACATATGTTTTAAATTAAAATAGTTTTATGAAGTTTTTAAACACGCATTAAGAAACTTTCCTGAAAATTTACAAATTACTTACAACATAGTTGTTTCAGGTCTTATCATGCTTTAAGGAGGGATGGGGAAGACCAATAAATAAATAAATTTTTGTTTCGAAAAATAGCACAAAATTGGGTTAGTAAGAAGGCAAAGAAATTTATTATGCATCTTTTATCCCAAGTGGCAAAAGTATTCCTTTTAGAAGCCATGAAATCATGATATTTGGTATCACACAGATGCAAGTGGAGGACAAAATACACATACCAATTCCCAATACCCATTAATTTCTTAGTTCAGCTTTGGCTAAGGTTATGGCATGGTTGAGACAATGATGGTGACGATGATACGGAGCCACGAGGTTTTGTTTGTCAATTCTATTCAATTAGATTATGCTTCTTTCAGCCCATTTGGTTTGAAAATGCCTGCAGACTCCCTGATTTCCTGCCGTTGAAACTTGTTTGGTTATTTGGAATTGGAACATCCATGATAAACAATGGAGATTATTTTATAGTTAATTTAAATTTTAGTTATTATTTATTTTAATTATATAATGAAGATTTATTCTGCTATGCATTTATTTCCACTTAACGTGTTTTTATTTTTGTCCACCTAATATGTTTCTTAAAGAATATCGTAACAAAGTTATTTCTCACTTGTGAAAAAGACAAAGGTATATTTAATATAAAAGTGAAAGAAAAATTATTGATGATACAGTTAATTATAAATGGTTAAAATTAAATATTATTTAAAGTTATATAATTCTTTTATTTAAAAAAATTATATAACTTTTTTATTTTATTCTTATGATGAATCTTTAGAATGAAACGAAACTATTTTCAAAAGTTACTAAAATAACATCTTAACTGTTTTTTTTTATTATTATTATTGGAAGTGAATTTTATTATACCAACTACATAGTTTAACTTTTTTATAAAGTATATTAATTGTATAAGATTTTATACAATTTAAATATTACTCAATACTTTATTATCTCATGATATTCTAACATATGATATGTTATTTTTAAATATAAATAAATAGATATTATTTATTACATATCTACAAATATTTAAACTATACAAAATTTTATACACATCATATCTTTATGATAATGTTATAAGATCAATAGTTAAATTAATAAAATTTATTTTTGATGTAAAGTTAATAAACATATCATTTTACTAAATTCAATTTATGATATCATTTGATCTTTAAACTATATCAACATGAATCAAGTTATTTAAGAATAACATAAATTTCATTAATTAATAAAATTTAATACAACAATCAAGCTCTATGAACGAGGGCTGAGTTTTTAGCAGTGAATATAAAACTGTTCGAATATAGGCTCGAGGCATGCCCACTTATTAACCTTACACCATGCTGATAGACTTAAATTAGTTGGTATAAAGAAGAAAATTTTAGACCATGTCTTCAGTCTTGCCCCCACGTTTACAGATATTTTACATTAACTTTTTACAATAGTCAAGTGCAGTATTAATTTATTATTATACAAATTAAACATATTTTTAATCTAAATGTTAAAATTAACTACTATGAATTAATTAAATGAGTGCATAAATCGGCTAAAAAATAAAAATTTCAATTTAATCAATAAAATTATTAGATTTCTTAGTTTGTATAAATCCTTTTATTTCTAAAAGCATAAATGAAACAAAAATGATATATTTTTTAATTAGATTAAAAAGCGATGGCAGAAACAAGACCAATTTATCTCAAACCCACTCTTATACCTATGAAAGGTGAGATAGGACATATTGGGCTAAATTGTTAATTGCACTTATTATTAGTTGATGTTATAACTGTAGTGGTTAGATAGTCCTTCTCAAAATAGCTACAATTTAAATCCTTAACATTAGAAGTAGAGTTATCATTTTCGTTGCAATATGTAAATACATTAAGGATGCATTTATTAATTATGTGTTTATTCTTAAAAGTTATATAAACAAACTCACATATTAAAAGAGACAAGCACATGCACCATAGTCAACAGAAAGAAGTCTGATAATCCGTAACAGCTACTTTGTATTTATGTACTAATTAATAGATTTTATTGAAAATGCGTAATGACTCAAGCTTTTGTCCATGTCTGACCATGTTACTCTCACTGAGAGTAACATGATTTTAGTGGTCGAACAGAAGCAATTAAATGCATTTTGTATCAGATCAACATGAGTTTCAATATCAGAACGACAGCAATTACATTGGGCTATTTATACTTATTAGCTACTAAAGTACTTCTTATATAAATGAGCTTTCTAGTTCTGATTGCCGATCAGATCATGCAAGGGTTTCGCAAAGAACTTGCAACATGAATCGATAATTATGTCAGCAAAACCATCGTTATATGCCTCGACCTACGTGGCTTTGATGCTTTTTAGCTTATATTTTTCTAAAGTGTGTTTAAAGGTATATAGTAAAAATCATAAAATATTTTAACTTTTTGGCTGTGAAAATGCCTAATAAAAACTTTCATACATAATCACTTCACTAAACTTCTTTTACATAATATATATATGACATATAATATTTATTATATACTGATTTAACTAATTAGTGAAAGTTTTATAACACTAATAAAGACGACGCCTAGCAAAATTTCGAATCCATTTATTGTGTGTACCTTATCTCAACCCATATCTGATATAGAAAGCAAAATATTATTGTAAAGAGTTCAACCCTTATCAAAGCATATTCATGACAGACCAAGTAGATCCCTGAAATGAAATTGCAGGGATATAATTTCAGTTATTCGTGCAGTCATTAAATTATTCAATTTAACTTTAAAATATAACTTTATCATAAAATAAAACCAAATTTGATGAATATGATTCTCGTAATTATTTAAAATTAACTCTAGAGAATAGTTATCTGTATGTATATGTTTACGTTGAAATTAAAAATTGAATCGGATTGGTCATCCAATTAGAAAGGCAATCAAAACTCAAAAGTCTAATCAGTTTAACTTAAACTAAAAATTAGTTAATTTCTTAATCGATAAGAAATGGCATATAAAAAACGGAAGAACTGTTAAATGAAAGAATTTTTTTAAGAGTACAAAAAAATAAATTTTGACTATTTAAGTGTAAATGATTAAAATTAAAATATACAAATTAATTTTTTTTAATATTCATCATTTATGTATGATTATATAATTCATATTTATTTTTTATTAGTATAAAATAACCTTTTTTTATTAAATAAATCACGTAAAAACTTAAAATCGATATAAACTATTGATGAAGAATCACTTTGAGAAAGCTATTTTCACTTTGAAACGTCTTGAACTAGTTTTTAATTATTTTTTATGATGTTCAATTATAAATCGTTATTGTTTAGTTTCTCATTATTGATTTATATCTTTCACTATATAATATGGTCATCTTATATTAAATTTAAAATTTATCAAATATTTTTCTATTTTAAAATTTATTATTTAAAATATTATATATTAGTTCCATTTCTATTTATCCGCTAATATAGAAGATTTATTTTCTCATTTTTTTTAATTTTAAAGTTTTAAGATAGCTTTAGTTACCACTTTTTTTTTATTATAAAATAAGAACATTTTAAAATTATTCTTTTTTCTCGTCATGTCACATGGCTTCTCATTTTCTTTGCTTTATTTAATTTGATTTAAATTTTATATCTTGATACACTATATCAAATTAAAGATATTTTTTATATAAAAATTTGATTTTTGATAATCTTATTTAATACATGTTTGATTTTTTGAGTTTTAAATATTGTATAATTTTTTTAATTTTAAAAATTTAATATTTTAATTCAATCTTATTTAACCTAACAAAATATTTATTATTAATAATAAATAAATTTATTTATTTTTGCTTTAATAAATATATTTATTTGACTTAAGCTAACATGAGTTAGCAAATAAGTGGTAGATAAGTAAGTAAGTCTTCTTAAATCGTTAGATATATATTTTTTTAAAAATAAACGATTAAGATATTTGACCTGCAACTTAATAATATCAATTTTTATATATTTATGATATAATTATCTATAAAAATTTGTGAAATTGCTCTTTAAATCTTTAAAATTTGTTATTTTATATTGATTGTATTGATAGTCAATTTTTATCTTTTCTAAACAAATCTTGTATGTATCATGTATTAAGATAGTAAATTTAAGGTTTACATTCACATATATTAATACAGTTATAATTTATAATAAAAAATAAGTTTTAAATTAATAAAAATATTAAACACTATTTTAAATCTTTAGGATTCTTTGCAAACTTTAATTATTAATTTCATAATTTTTATAATTAAAAATTTTATATTTACTTTCACATTGTTAATTCATCATGAAAATCAGCTCTTGTATTATTAGAGTTATTAAATACTATTTTAGATTTTTTTTTCATACATTTCTTGTGCACTAGTCACATCTGTTTTGCATAATTTATGTAAAATTCTTTTAAGTCATAACTTTCTTATTTAAGTGAAAGTTATATAAAAGAAAAATAGCTCACTAAATCAATATCACTTAGGATTATTAATTTGCTTAAGTCATATAAAATATTCTAATATTTGCTTAAGTAAATATAATTTGGTTTAAGTAAAAATTAGGTTAATTTTTTTTTTTACATTATATCAAATTTTTGCTTAAGCCAAATAATTATAGCTTAAGAGAAATTGACTTTGTTTAAGCTAAAAATAATAGTTTAAGTGAATATTGATCAAATTTGTATATTTATTATTGTATAAAATTAGCTTAAGTAAATATAGTATAATTTAAGCAAAAATTACAAAAAATGATTTTCTTGTATTTTTTTAGCGTTCAACCATATCTTTATATTTTGAGTTAGTCAAATTATTCATTTTTAAGAGAATTGGGATGAATATATAATGTTTACAAATTTAATTAGTTCTATTTACAAACATCATAATTCAAAGTATGATATTGCAATAAGAGTATGATTATTTAAATTTTAGATTTAAAAAATATAGTTGCATGCTATTTGAAAAGAAAAAATAAAAATAAATTGAATAAAGTTTATATGATATTATTTTAGATATCTTTTTCAAACTTTTATCGCTTAAAATTTAACTATAGTCATTAAATTTATCAAATTAGTCATTAGAAAATAAATAAAATATTTAAACTAATTTCGGAAAAAAAAATAAAAGGAAGTGAGTTTGAAAGAATAAGATTAAATTTTACGTAAATTAAAAAAGAAAACTTACATTTGTAACTGTTATAATAATATTTTTAAAAGATATTTATTCAAAAAATATAATTTAAATGACTTATTTTAAATATTTAATATTTAAAAAACTTTAACCTACAAAACTTATTAAGAATTAAATTATAAATATTATAATTTTTAAAATATATTATAACAAATCATCTTTCTAATTTATTTGAGTTATATAATACACTAATTTATATTAGTCATTAGCTATTTATTTATTCAATTTAAAATTTTTATTAAATTTAAATATAACTATAATATATATATATATATATATATTTAATTTATCATTTAAAAAATTGTTTAAATTTAATTATACATGTGCAACACATGAGCCACTAACTAGTAGATTACAAAATCAAAATGATAAATGAGAGAGATATAGAACATGTTAAAAAAATACAAGTAATTTTAATATTACAAAAAAATATATCATTAAATAAAATATAAAAAGTGAATAAAAAAAATAAATTATCAACTTATCAATTAATACTTTTACTCTTATTAATCTATCTTAAAAAAATTTACAAATTGAAAAAGATATATTTTCTGATAATTATTTGGTAAACTTTCTACTATATCTTTTATTAATTCTTCATGTATTGTACTTAAAACTTTTACATGAAAAATAGTAAAAAAATAATTATTAATTCTAACTAATTCTATAAGAACGTAATTATATCCTCTTATTAGGAAAAAAGAAATATATGTCTTAATTTTATTTTGTAACAAAAATTTCATTTTGATTTTTCTTAACTAATATACCGTTTGTATTTGTCTTAATGTTGTCCTAAACGTTCAACTAGTCAGATAAATACTGCTATGTATAACTCAATCTACGTTTGCATGTGTGGCTATATATATAAGAGAGAGAGAGAGAGAGAGAGAGAGAGAGAGAGAGAGAGAGAGAAGAGATCTAGAGAAAAGTGAGAAAAGGAGAGGGAGAGAGGGGATTTATGACGATAGATGGATGGGTTTGAGTATTCAATAGCTTCTCACGTCACATTTTAAATTATTCCCTGAAGAGAGTCGACCAAACTAACTTTCCGGCCAACTCGCAAACTGCACATATATTATGCCATTCTATTCCATCCACATACCTTATAAATAAGGATATATATACGTAACCCAAGCCAACCGTTATGATTATTCCTCACCCACTTTAGTCAACAATATCCTAACAAACCTTTACCCTCACACATGACCCTCCCCTTAAATTATTAGCCAATTAAAATAAACACTTCATAATGTCAAATGGATGAAAAAGAGATCAAACAAAGATAATTATATAAAATTAGTATACAAAATATAAGTGTTGAAAATATTACTATACCCACCTCTTACATTCCAATCCCATTTTTCTTCCTGTTCCCACCATTCACTAATGAACAAACATAATGTCATATATGCACACATTGATCCTAAATATTACTTACCCACTAAATCATCCCCAATTATTCACTAATTACCTCATGATTGTTAAAGCTGGAGGAGGCATCCCCGGCATGGGCATGGGCTCTGGTGTTCAACTCCACTTCAGCCACCATGTCCATGGAGGAAGAGGATGAGTTGGTGGAACCTTGCAATACATTTGGTGCAAAAGGCCAATCACTGCCCGTGGGTAACAAGAAGATACCATTATTAGGAGTTGTGGTAGCAGAACCAATGCAATTAATTGGTGGTTGTTGAGAATGTGGAGTTGATTGAAGCAACTTGATTTGCCTCTTCAAGAACTTGACATAGCTAATGGCTTCATCAAGCATTGAAGCTGTGTCCATTTTGGTGCCACCAGGGACGAGTCTTTGGAGGATGCGAATTTTCTCACTGATTCTCTCTCTCCTGTGTCGTGCAGCTACACTCTGTGGATCATCGCTTATGCGAACGTTTCTCCTCTTTGGCTTTCTTATGCTTGCTGGGTCTATGTCCACTGGCTGCATAGCAGCAATCTTGTACATCATTTCTTTCATGGCTCCTAACTCTTCTTCACCTTCTTCCTCTTCTTCAAAGTGTGTTCCTAGTATGTCACTCAGGAAACCTGAAGAGGGTGCCACCCTGGATGTGGATGAGGATGAGGATGACTGTATGTGAAGAGGGTGGTAGTTGGGCCAAATTGTTGAACCCATCGGAATTTGATGATGGTGATCATGGAAGATGCTGTTATTATGTTCATCCGTTCCCATATTCTCTTGATTATTCCAAGTGCTATGAACATTTGTGAATGTAGTGGTAGTGTTCTGGTTGGTATGATCCATGGTCACAAAATAAGAAATATGGGTGGGGTGTTTCTATTCTAGCTGATGTTATACTTTTGCAATTTATTGATTTTTTTATAGTTAATTGGACTAAAAAGTCTAAGAGAAATAGGAAAGAGAGAATCAATAACTAGGTTCTCTTATCTCGCCGCATAAAAGAGTTATCTAGCCGTGTGGTGAGAAAGGAAGAGCTAACTAGTATGCTAGTTGATTACCTTGGTTGAAGTTATCTCGTCCTCAATATGCACTTTGTCTTTGATGGTTCTTAAGGTAGCTATAGAGGGCCCAAGGAGAAGAAAGAGGGAGAGGACAAGTACTTGGAATGAGTTTTCACTGAAATGAGAGTGGCTGCAAAAAGTACACAGATGATGAATATAAAGAAAAGGTGGTGTTGCATGTTAAAGGGATTGAATATTGCAGTACTTATTCATACAAAATAAAGTATCGAATCAATTCCACATAAAGGGTTAAGGGAAAAAGTTAAAAAGAAATACACGTAGGGGAAGATTATCAGCTGGCTTAGTCTCATTCCAAGACTTCTCTCTCCAATCTGTTCTTTCGTGCACTGAAATCCTAGCTAGGGCTGCTCTCTCCTTTTCAAAATCCATTATGATTTAAGATTACTTTAAAGAATATATTTTCCTTGCCATAATCATATACATTTCCAAATGTTAATTGGATTTGTTTTATTTTTTTCATTTTAAGTAGTATACAAATTCAAAAAAGCAATGTAGTTAGTATAATTGTTTATGCTAAAATTATTTTAAATTTTTTAATTTAATTTGTATTCTTATTTCTCTCTCTATATATATGTGTGTGTGCCCACAAATATTATTTGCACCCGTTTAATTGCAATAAAGTTTTATAATTTTATAAAAAAAAATAGAAAGAAAGTTAATATTGAGAAAAAAAATCGTCATAGTAGACTTTGTTCAAACTGTATAAATGTTGAAATATTCATCGTAAAAAAAATAATTATAACATCATTTTCCCCTGTATCACTTTGATATCACATGTTATATGTGGTTAATATCCAACTTACACTGTTATTCATTATACAGACTACTCTTTCATATAATTTGATAATTGAAAAGAGTCAGTTGGCATCTTCAAAGTCAAAGTTCACACACATTAAAAATAGGAAATTGTGCCATTATTTAATCAAGGAGAAAGGAGGGATGCTTCCTGAACTTAAGTGGAGGAAATATATATATATATATATATATATATATATATATATATATATATATATCATATTGCTTAACACTAAACTGTAACACTGATATTATTTAATAACTTTTATAAATAAAATTAATACGTATTTTATTATATAATTTTATTTTAACAGATAATATATTTTTAAATGTTTAAATTATAACAAATTAATTTGACAGACATAATAATAAAAATAATATAACATGATTCAAAAGTTAGATTACTCAATTTTACATTTTATAAAAGACGAATATTAATAATATACTTTTTATTATTTATTAAAATTTATTAAAAATTATAAAATTATAACAGAAATATTAATTTAGGAGTGAAATTTTTTTAAAAAATTAACCTTAGTCATATATGGTAAAAATAATAAATAATTTAATTTAAAAGTTAAAAGCTAGTCAAAAGTTAAAAATTAAAAGTTAATAAAGTAATTGAATTAAAAGTATTTAGTAAAAATAAATACTAAATAGGACACACGAAATTACTTGGCTATGAATTAAAATTTAATTGGTAACTATATTTTTAAATAGTTTTCAATTTTTATATTTTAATTTATTTCAAATAAATTAGCATCTTAAAAATTAAGATAATAATTTTATTCTCATTTTATATTTTTATAAAATAAATGTATATTTTAATCTTAATAATATTATATTATAAAAATAATATTCGATGTGTTCGATGAAAATAAGAGAGTTAGAGAATGAAAACGAGGGTTAAGAATTTATGAATATAAAAAGGATAAAACAGTAATTTTAATAAGATAATAAAAATAAAAATAAAAATAAATTAGAAGCTAATTAATGTCAATGTTACATGAAATAATATTTTAAGGAAATACAGGTAAGGAAAATAAGTTTTTTGATCAAATAACTTTACTTTGTTTGAATAAAATTTTAAGCTAATCAAAATATGTTAAAAATTAACTTAGTTTACTTTACTTTGTCAAGCGTACTCAATTTTTTATGGGTTCTGTCTTCGTACGTACTGGGTGCTTTGGAGCACATCTTTTTGCATATATAGAATTGGAAGAATAAATTACATGTTTATTATTTACTAATTAAAGATCAATCTCTTATTTTGTTAATCCCAGAAAAGTATGTGAAACATATGTAGTATTTGATTGATATGGAACACAGTGCCCTTTAATTTTACCCAACTCCTTTTTCTGTGTGCCGAACAATTAGGGTAATTTATTGATGTGTAAGAAGATATTTTCAAAGTCATTATTAGTTTGACATCAGCTGCTGCAATATATGTGTCATGTGTGCTCAGTTTTTTTTTTTTTTTGGTAAATAAAAAATGACAAGGAATATTATTTTAAGCCAAGTTTCGCCTTAATTAAAACTCAGTTTTTTTTAAATAATTTTAAAATTACATTCCCACATTAGCCTGATGGATTTTGGAGAATGCCGATTCAAGACATAACACACAAAAAAGGTTTGAAATATCAATATTATTGATGATAACTGTGTGTGACATTAACTTCAATTAATTAAGGTACTCTCGTGTTAGTGAAGCCAACTAACTTTAAAATGCAGAAGCTGATGTTATATTTTCCCAAAGTAGAAGGTTCTCCCCGTCGAAGAGCATTGTCAAATTACATAGGGATAAAATTGAAAAACAACAAACATAATTTAATATCTATGCATAATTAATTCATGTACCTAGAATTTTGATGTCATTGAGTTTAATGGATAGAAATATATTTTAACAGAAAGATTTTAAATCTTTTAGGGTCTATCACTAGATACTAATACCTAACCTTAATCAGCCATATAAATAAAAATAGTACTACCATCCATCATAATCAATATGCTAAGACTTATTTGTTTTATAATTGAAGAAAATAATTCTTCTAGTTTTCAATTAATCTAAATTACATGCTTCACCAAAATTATTATTATTCATTCAACTTTAAACTAAGCATACACGGAGAACACGCAATTGGTACACATGTATTGTTCTACAATGGAGGGGGAAGAGAGAAAGTGAGAACACATTAAAGTTGAAAATAGAAGCAACAATTTAGGCAAAGGAAGAGAGTTACATTGCTATCTTTCTGACGATTGAAGCAGAGTCGGGTTTTACCATTTACAAGTTATATGAAATGAAATACTTAGAAGATAGACTCAGAAGCAGCAAAGTTGATCAAAACCACGTTACATCAGCCTCAGACTGGTGATCATCAGACGGTGGGACAACACACTAGTGTGTGATCATTTCTTTTCCTTTTCCTTTCTTAATTTTCCGGAGTTCTCAAGTACAACACACTACACCTGATCATTACTTTCACTGTATCTGTGTTATAATGCTATGTTGTTCTACGCTTGCGCATGCACAAAAATAATCATTCCGAGCTAGCTAGGGTTCCCGTTCTCCATTTCTCTTGTCTCTTCATATAGCGTTCTATATAGTCAACATTTAATTTTTGTAAGAATGTGAAGAACAGATTAAAAATAAATATCTTAAAAAATAAATACATTTACATATTTTGCTGTTGAATAAAATAGTTGTTCCAAGCAACACTTAACTCTTTCTCCTCATTGCAAAATTCTATTCACTTTAAATATGAGAAAAACTAAATATTATTTTTTGTTTTCGTAATTGTACAAGGCTAACTACAATATATCTAGGGAATTAATGTTATCTTAGAATCATGGGCAACAAAAAGTAAGGAAAATTTTATAATTACAAATAATCAGAAATATTGATTAATTACAAATGCAGAGATTTATCTCTGCATAAAAATGTATTTTTAATATCAAATTAGTTTAACTTTCATTTAAAATGAGGGGCTAAAGATTCAGATTGTCTCTCCTTAATGAAAGAACTAGACGTTAAATAAAAATAAAGAAAATACCAAAAATAAGTTATACAAAATTTGGTTAGATAAATTTTAGTAGACTAAGTGAGTGTGGAAGAATGAGGAGAGATGGGCTAAGGGATGGAGAGAGCAAGTAAGTATGCATGGGAGTGGGGAAGAGTTAGGTATGAAAAGAGAAGAAGGGTTGGAGTGTGAGTGAGAAGAAAAGTTGAGTATGATAAAAGAAAGAGGTTGAAAAGAAGAAGTTGGATACCAGAAAAGAGAGGAAGATTGGACATGAGAAAAGAGAGAGATTGAGGAATGAGGGTTGTAGAAAGGTATAGGACGGAGATGGTGTTAAATTTGTTTAAATAAATTTTGCGTAATTTCTTTTATCTTTTTTTTCTATTTTTATTAAAGTGAACTTAATTTTATTTAAAAATAAATAAAACTGAAGAAGCTAAAAAGAGAATAAGTTTATATTTTCAATGAAGTAAATTTCTCCTAATCAATTTCATATTTTTGGGCAAACTCTTTAATGAATAGCCTCACCTTAAACCAATCCAAATGAAATATCATGAAACCTAAAAATGACAGTAGGTAATGCGTGTATAAAATACTACAGTACCCATTTCCAAGCCATATATTTAAAAGAATTATTCATACTTGTTCTTCTATTTCCATATCTTGGACACCTAAATCCTTACACCCGTATTCATTACTTGTAGTTGTAATTAGTTAACTAAAATGCAATATTTTCTAACATTTTTTTTATAAATATTATGATAAAATGAAAAATTAATAAAAATATATCAAATAATGTGTAGAATTGTAAAAAATAATATAATATGGTATCAAGTTATAATATAATACATATAAAATTAAATTAAGATTATTTATGTAAAATTTTAATTTTAAATGTATTGTATAAAGATGTGAGTAAATAAGCACGAGTAATATTCATACACAT